TGAGAAATTTCGATTGCTAATTTTCTAAGGTCACCGCCTGTCCGGGCAATAACTCGCAAAGCTGCTAGCGAAAGGACGAAAAGCAAAGCGACTTTTATTATTCCGAGACAATATTGCATTCGGCACAATAAAACTTCTTATTCGTTCCGGGCACATCCGCGACAAGTAAAAGACATTATTTACTGCTCCGTGCTTCTCCTCTTTTATTATATATATCTGTATCGTTTTCTTTGTCGGTTGTTTGATGATAAGATGGCACGTTTCAAGACTCGAGGTATTAAAACGTCGACTCTTCTGCTGTTGTTGTAAGATGTACGGGTAAAGAAAACCGTCACTCAAATTGATATGTAGGTATATATAGATATAAAACTGTAAGGTATCGAAGAGTTTTTGTTAGCGTCTTTAAAACGGACGGGTTCGCTCCGTCGAACAAAACGGCTTGTTATTTCGTCTGTATCGCTAACAAAACATTTTACTTACTACTTTTCCAGCTCTTAAATGTGACTAAAGAAACGATTTTTCGACGCGCTCCGGGGCATAATCGTATATACTTGTCGTTTATAGTCCAAGTAATAATTCTTTCAAACCAAAATAGCATAATTATTTTATTTATTATTGTTATTACTCCTAGCTCTAACGAAATCGAATTAGTCTTAAACTCATTGAAGTTTACGTTAGTTATATACATTTATTTGCGGTTTACTGAGTAGTTGCGCGAGTCTCGAACTGCACTCAACATCCGTAATTGGGTTAAATGCAAATTACATATATCAGAAACGAGCCTTTGGGGTCTAGTTTTCGTTTTCGTTTTCGTTCTCGTTCCCCCCGCTCGCGCGAATCTCGCCGGAGACTCGGAAAATTCGCGTCGACGACGACTCTCGGAAGTCAATAAGATTTTTTTTTTTTGGCAAATCAACCGAGAAAGCGGAGGAAAAAAAAGGGAATCTCGCGATCTAATTAAATCCGGTCCGACGTGCTTAGCATGCGGACGATACGCGACGGCTCTCCGGGAAACGAATTCCCGAAACGTCGATGCGAATGGGTGTACACGGACGAGAAGACGGATGTTCGGAATTTTTTTGTTTTTTTTCCCTAGCGATTTTCGAACGCTGTCGATATGAAGGTGTGCGGATTTTCGCCTAGAACGAACTCAAAGAGGCGTTATATCCAGGAGATATAGTCCATTCGCGGTCCAGGAGATTTTAAATAGCGCAAATCATACAAATATGCAACATTCGAGCAATAAAAGTACCTTTAAGGAGCCTCTTAACTGGCGGATGAAGGGAAACGTTCTACCCCTCTCCGAAAATCCACTCAATTTCCATAATTCTCCCACATTCGGTCGCGTTTAATGGTCGTTAACCCATTTTTCAAAGTCTGAGACGCGACCTTGAGCATCGCTCTTCCTCGCCCTTCTTTTTATGATCCACGTACCTCTATTAGAGTGATAAATTTGATAAATCTTTCGGTCTCCTTTTTCGCAACTTTCCATTCGACGCTCCATTAAATTTCGCGTTTAATTTCCATAAAATGGAAAGCCGAAAGCGATTTTTCGACTGTATTAGATGACAATGCGAAATGGAAAGTCCGTCGTCGATGACGTGTACCTATGCCCGGAAAAGAGGATTCGATAGGAGCAAGGAAAATTGTTGGCTTAAAAAGCGGTTGGTGAATTAACGAATTTCTAATATCTCGTATTTTTCTTTAGATAAAGGACGAAACGAAGGCCGTGGAGAAAAAATAAAAACAAGGTCAATCGTTTCTCTGTTATGCTTACCAATCATTTTTTCTCTCGAACGACTCTTCACTTAATTTTCCGGAACCCTTTTCCGGAGATACACGCACGATTATGGGAGCAGTAAAAAATAGCCGGAGTTCAAAAGATTTAAGTGCCATAGAAACGTATACAGCCTCGAAGGATATTGCCTTTTTTCCGGTTATTTTTTAAAGGCCTACAATAAAGATGTATCGAATAATACGTACAAGCGGTTGTGAAACAGCGAATCAATTTCTTTTGTGTTGTCGATATCATGCATCAGTTTTGTTCTACAAATCCTCCCTCTGTATGATTAAATGGATTAACCTTCGGCTTATTTTTAGATGCAGAATCTTCCCTTCGTTAATTCCGATCGCCCTGGTGTATTAGAACGTGTGAAAAATCAGTGGATAATTTTTTTCAAATTGCATTAGAGCCAGTCGTGCTTATGTTGGGGGGGTGACTTAATTCGATTATAACCCAACTCTTTGTTCATCGATTTTAATTCACCCTCTCGCCGTTGACCCAAATAAGGCGAACGTTATAAAGTAGATACCTCTAAAAAAGACGAGGAGTTTGTTTTATTTGCTTTCGACAAATTTCGTTAATGTATTTTCACGAGAACCCCGGCGTCGCGAGTACAATACACATCAGGAAAAGCGAAAAAGAAACTGAAGGGATGAACTCACTGTTGCGCTGCTTTTTTCTTTCTCCTCTTCTTTCGTCTTTATTTTATTAGAATTAGGCTAAGGGGTTTTAAGTAATAAAATTTGGAGGGTGCATTAGGGTTAATAAAGAGGTCCTTTGAAAGGTTTTGCTTTATTGCGCAACAAAGAGCGCTTTAATTATTATATCATTTATTTGAGAAAGTGAAGGTGTAGAATATTTTTGTTGTCGCGAAATTCTACACATTTTTATTCGCGCTATAGCTATATAAAATTAACAGCCGGGACGCTAATCACCCTATATAAAAGGCAATTGCGAAACACGTTCGACCGGCTCCGCGGCGAAATCCCAAGTGATAAATGAAAATTTAATAACTGCAGCTATAAATATTATTATCGTAATTAAAACAAGCATGTCGTTTTTAGGCATCGCTAATTAATTTAAATGGCTGCATTGAGCAAACATAGAGCGCCGCTTTCCGCGGGCATTACTCATCGTTTATGTGACGGCGCGGAGCATTTTCCGATCGTTCGTCATCGACTTTTCCGAATAAATTCCGCGATTTACGAGCCATTTCGTCGTACGAAAACGAGCGAACGGCAACACCGGCTCTATTTCTTCTAGTTTTGTTTTTACACAAAAGGCCTCGGACGCGGCGGTTATTCGGCCGTTTTGTTTGTAGAATGTGGGGTAGTTTTTCGCTAATTTTGCGGCGCGAATTCGCGGGTAACTGAGCAATCTTGGCTCGTCGAAGACGAGAAGGGCGAAGTTCGAGATGTCGAGGCCTTGTGTAAGTTTGTAAGTTGATAACGTCTCGAGTTGGGCGGCGGACACATGTTTGTCGGGAGTTACATAAACAGAAGGAAACTCCATGAATTCAGATGCCTTTGTCTGTTTTGGAGATTTCGTTGAATAATAATCGAACGATTAAATTTCCGGAGATTGTTTGTTTCGTACAAAAATATTTATGTTTCCATTTTGTATTGAGTAAATCACAACAATTTACCGAACATATTTCCTTATATTCGGTGTATAAATCGAAAAATGGGTATCCCCATAGGATTTTCGCCGGATTTGGGCCGGTCCACTTTTAACAAAACATTTTCTTTATTTATTTTCTTGTCACTACGTGTGTGTGTATATATTTTTTTCGAAAGTTATCGAGTGTTCCGGGATGTCGACTTAGATATATAACATCGGATTCGGGGGGTTTATATAATGTAATAAAAATCGAAGAGGGAACTTTCCGATCGAGTTTAAGATTTTCGAATGACTAAAGTTTATTGGATTGTCGAACGCACAATAATCAAGAAGTATTACTCGGTTTTATTTCCCCGGTTATCCAATACGAACTCCTATACATTAAACGAGTAGTTATTACATATTTGTTTTATCCCGTAGAAATGTAAGGTTAAACTTTTATCGAAAAAAACATTAAACGAAGTTTTGTTGTTCGGTATACGTGGACTCATTTATATTTACGACACCCTAATGTTTGTGTATTCGTGTGCGTGCTGGTTTTGTTTTAACTTTACGACCATTAATTCGGTTTTGCTTCATTTTGTAGTCTAGGTAACTAATACAAATAGGATGCAGTTAATCTTTAAGCCGACGTTATGACGTGCATTAATGGAGAGCCATTTTACACAGGACCGAACATTAGCAAAATGACTGAAAAAAAAGTCGCTATACATAATAATTATCCGCTCAAAATTATTCCTTTATTGGCTAATAAATAACTTATTTCTCAAATGGAGATTAGTAATTCATAAACGTGGTTTTATTATAAAGAAAAAAACTGTTTTTCTTCACGGTCGCCGAGTTTTCCGCATCAAACTAAACACGTATAACTGTGGAGGAAGGAAAACTTTTTTCCCGTCGTGTCGTGGACGTCCTTCAACTTTTTCCTACCCTTTTTAAACCGATATATAAATCAATAAAATAGAAAGACATCGGGCGGGAGGAGGAAACGGTACATGTATAAAAGAAAAAGTTATTTCCACTTTTCCGTTTCGTTTTTTTTTTCCGTCCCGAAAGATGCGGGACGAAATTCGGAAATTTTAGGTTTATTGGAGTTTCTTTTTTTTTTTTTTATTTTAACAACTCCCGAACGTCGACGATTTTTCATCAAGGCCGAGGGATATTATGTGTGTAATGCGAATTTGAACGACAGCCGAAAGATTCTGATTTATATTTCTCTTTTTTGCCGAACTACAGGGGAGTTTGACGACGCAACTTCTTCGACAAACTTATTTTCTGTATTTTTTTTATAAATCGCTCTTTGGAATGTTCTTATAACTTTTTTTTTCCTTTTGATTAGACATTACAAATTGAAATATTACAATGATTTCACGACACATCATTTATTTTTCCATACTATTAAAAACCCATTAAATTTATAGGTACACAAATAAATCTATTTTTTTTTTCCTATTGCACTAAAAGCTTTTTGTGATACATTCCCATCCGATCGTTTTCTTATTGGTATAAATCATTTTTTATGATATACTCCCCTATTTAATAGATTTTTAATGGCTGTCTGGACATTTTTTTAACGCAATTTAATTTATTTTTCCAGAATGGCGGTGCCAAAGATGGATTGGACATGAACGTGGCGCCCGCCTGGCAAAAAGGCTACACCGGAAAGGGGGTCGTGGTCTCCATACTGGATGACGGTATCCAGACGAACCATCCGGATTTGGCACAGAACTACGTGAGTGTATTTTCCTTTTACTCCGGTTTATTCGGTTTGGGTTTTTTTCCGAAATTGTCCCGTCCAGTTTCTTCCTGAGCTAGATTAATTTATGCGTTCGCCAAACGATTCAATTTGTTCGGTTTTACTTAAAACATTTCATACGAAATGAACCCCAATGACTTTAGCTTACACCTGTGGGAAACTACCGCAGGTCTATTTCAAGTGTTATTTTTCTGTCGTGCAAGTCGTATAAGGAGAAATTCGTTTCGAAGAGGATCATGAAAATTTCGTAAATAATCAAACGCGAGCGGTCTTTAAAAATTGAATATATCCCGCTTACATAATGGATGAACGTTAAACTTGAATAAACGGGATCATAAAAAACGCCGATAAATTTTCCAGCATTAAAAGTAAACAATAAAACTTTTTTAATTTGCTACCTATTTAACTTGACAGTAAACCTTGGTGTAGTACGCATTATAGGCCATTCGTTTGGCGGATCTAAAACGGATCGTCGAACGCAAAAGTAATTGTTGGAATTAACATTTTTCGAACGGAGAGCTCTCTTTCTTGTTTATTGCGCTTTTTCCGGGATTTTTTTTACGAATCTCTTTAAATTTACTACATATTGAAATTTTAATAAAGACATCAGTAATATGCTAATAATTTTTAGTAAGAGCATTTCCTGAGAAGATCTAAAAATATAAAGATGCTAGGCAATAAACTTTTATAACCGAGAACACAGCTTTTCATCTAATAAAATCCTGGTAATATAAATTGAAAGCATCGTCTCATTTAAAGAATACAATCAAAATGGATAGCAAATTTTCCTTATTACCTTTTATCACAAACTGTGAATTTTTAAAGGCAACTTCATTATCAATTTTAATTGGGAAAAACTTGGTGTAACTGCATCGTTGTATTCTGGCACACGGGCTATATCCAGCCTAGAGAAAGATGACCAGATGGGCGGTGTTCGGCCACAAAAGCCCAATAAAATGTTTAACAGTCCATGGAGATATGAACTAGAGCTCTTCATTACCATATTGAAGCAGTTTCTAGTCGTTTTAGGAACGACGCTCTAATGTAATTTTGGCAAGAGCAATGTGTCTGAAGTAATATATGCTAATGCATCAGTATTACATAGTGTCGGTGTAAACATGTATTCGAACGGGAAATCGATATCGGGGATGTACGTTAAAGTTGGCATCGGCCGGGGCTTTTTCGTTTCGGGGGATTGGGGGGAGTTTGAAAAACTCGAAAACGTACGAGATGTTCGTTTATCCGGGAGTTCAGGTCGAACGACGATTCCCCTATACATGTATGTATAAATGCTTGTATAAATGCATACAAGGAAACTGGGACGTTTTACGGATTGGACGGTTTTCGATAAATAAATCTAACGGCTCGATTTTTTCGAATTTTGTATATACAGGGTGTCTCATAAGTCGCTACTTTTTTACTGCGTATAGATCTTTTAATTCTAAGCTACTTTTTCAAGTAAAATTTTTTAATATTCTGGAAAATAAGAGAGCATGTTTTTTCTCAATTTTAATTATTAAAAAGTTAATACGGCCCTGTTCATTAAAAGTTAAAGGAACTACTCAAAATTGTCTCCATTTTGATTGGAAACGCTTTGAAAACACTCTCCATAAATAATCAGAATGTCAACCAATTCATTATTTGCATAAAGATGAGCCATTTTTAATCAAACAATCGAAAATTTTATTTCTTATCATTAATTAATAATTATTTTTTGTCACCTGTGAATTTCCATCTTTTTTAATTTCCAGAATATTAAAAAAATTACTTGAAAAAGTTGCTTAGAATTAAAAGATCTATTTGCAGTTAAAAAAAAGTATCAACTTATGAGACACCCTGTATAAAAACGCAAACATATCTGACTGACTGATTATGACTAGATGACTAAACCTTTTTAAAATTATATAGCTTTAGTTTAAGAGTTTAAAGTAAGTTTAGTGCTTTTTTTTAAGAAACTTTAACAATTAATTAATATCAATCAATCAAATTTATCGATCCGAGAGTTAAATTAACGTTTCGTTTCCCGAATTTAACAAGCGACTTTTCCTCGTCAATCCCGGCTTGTATCTACTTACCCTCGTCGCGCCTTATCCACCCATTATCTAATCCGTTATGTTCAACATTTCCCGCAACATCCTGAGGATATTTTCTTATGAAATTAGGACCGGTTCATCCTCCAGGACTCCGTAAGGCCTATTAAATTGTCCTGACGGCTAGGGACGTATCTATGCGGGGTAGATTAGGGGCGGACGGTTGGCAAATTTCGGGAAACCCTTGTTGATTTAACTTGATAAATAAAAGGTGAATAAAAAAAATGCAAATTGTTTGATGTATGATTTATTGTGTATAGTATGTTCGCGTTAATCTAGCGATGACGTCACTCGCTGAAATATTGGATGAACTATATGTAAACGTTTTAAGATTAGCTTGAATGTTGTTTGTAGGTGGAAATATAGGCGAGTGTGTATCGTCCTTTTCCATCTTTGCGCGGGAGTGTAGTAGGCGAGGGTGGAGGATATATGGGGGAGTTGGCGGAAACCGAGCGGGAAATAGAGTTAAGGAAAAAAAAACGTGGTTTGTTAGTGTGTGATGTATTTTCGGTATTTTATCCGTTTTTATGGGCGCTTTTTCTACCGGGGGTTCGAATACAAATTGAATGCGATTATGTTTTATTCGCGTGGAATGAAATTTTGTTGAAATAAATTCGATATATTCGTTGCGTAATGTAATGGAATTGGAAAGTTTATTGCGTTTTGCGTCGAGTCGATGTAATTTCTAATCGACTTTTATAGACATTCAGCAAGTAACCGGATGCTTTTTTCCAGCGAGAGAGAAGACCATCGAAAAGTAAATTCGAAAGGCATTTAATTTTGCGGATAACAGATTTTATTGTGAATAAAATAACGAAATCCGAATTAATGTAGCGATATAAAAAATCCCCCGTCATTCGTACCGATATAATAAAAAGAAATTTAAATTTTTTAACGACCCCTTTCGCCGGAATCTCCGATAATTTATGTCGAAAATAATCGCGCAGATATTTACTGCCGAGAATCATTCATTTTATCTATATAACTTTTACGCAAAAGGGAGTTAATTTTTAATTAACGTACACTTTCGATTCGTTGTAAAAAATAACGAGGGGCTGTTGCAGGATTCTTTAGCCAGCACGGACATCAACGGCAACGACGAGGACCCCATGCCGCAGGACAATGGCGATAACAAGCACGGTACCAGGTGTGCAGGAGAAGTCGCAGCAGTGGCTTACAATCAGTACTGCGGCATCGGCGTGGCTTACAATGCCAGTATTGGAGGTGAGTTATTTTTGATTTTTGGACTAATTTTACAGCAAATTAGGACCTCATTCATCGCCTATATTCGATCAATTTGTGACTAATTTATTAACATTTCTATCTGCTATACTAATTAATTTAATTTAATAAATTTGTAATGATAAAATCCTTATATTTCTCTATTGAAGTTTTTGATTTTCGGGCTAATTTTACAGCAAATTTGGACCTCATTCATCGCCGATATTCGATCAATTTGTGACTAATTTAATAATATTTCTATCTGATATACTAATTAATTTAATTTAATAATTTTGTAACGATAAAACCCTTAAATTTCTCTAATGAAATTTCCCATCAACTCAAACACGTCGAATTCCATTTCCATATCTGGCATGTACACGCTCTAAAAACCGTTATCTAACAGAAACTTGAGTTTCTCTCTACACTTAACTACATGTACGGGAAACTTTAAAAACATCCAACTCTAAACTAACGTTTGAAGCCTTTAAAATTTACCTATATCACCTACAGTTGTATTAGTCTGACAACTTTGTTATAAGCGGAGTTTTCATCAGATAGAAAGCCCCTTTTCGATCCTATCATATTAACCGAAATGCCGGTTGAACCGCAACTAAAACTCGCAACTGTCCCTTTTACTGTTGAACTTTCGATCCGCCGAAATGGAATACAGCGATATGTACTTAGCGATTAATCGATTGTGTAACTAGCATGATTATACGAAATTCTAATTCTCCAGTATGAAACGAAACATTTTTTCTAGTGTAACTAAAAAAAATCCAACATATATACACTAAAAAAAAGCTTTTGTGCAAAAAAAAACCAAAAAAATCCTACCCACAAAAGAGCCATTTTATATAAGATAGAGCTCAAACATATTGCGAAATTTTTTCCATAATATCGCAAGTGTGTATGTGTGTGTGTACGGCAATTCGCTGTTAATGATAGCGTTTTAATCTGTCGGCGACCGTGGACGATAAAAATTATTTACGAGTGAACCGGAGAGGGTGTAAAAAAAATAGCACATCGGCCAGTAAAAACGAAATTTTCCGGGGCAATAACATTCGATGCGGTGTTGTTGTGTATGCGGCGGCGAAACGGAAAAAAAAAGTAACCCAACGAGACCCAACGAAACGAAGATATCGCTTTTAAAACGCTTGTTTGGATTATTCGGTTTTTATTGTCGGCGTTTCGCGATGAATTTTCGAAGATAGATGGGCGAACGCGAACCTATCCGGGTTGTTTGTTTCGAATTTTTGCGAATTAGAATACTTTCAAGCCGCACTAAAACAACTCTCGGTTAAATAAATTAACCTTTGTGGCGCTTCTGAATAGATAGTGTGTGATCTATTACATCAATAAGTGACTCCTGTTTAGGTAAACAAACGGTTCTTTTCGTTGGTGAGTCTTAAAAGTGAGTCTTAAAAAAATCAATTAAATTAATACTGAATCATTTATTTGCATAAAATTTCCCAAATCCACATTCCTAAGTCAAGTTCTATTTATTATTGTAAGGGTCTTGTTTACATTGAGGGGAAATTTTCGACCGGTTTTGCAGTACCTACAACACTCACGTACGAACTTAGAAATTGAAATCCCAAGAAAAATAATTATTATACCTACACACACACACACACACACACAAGCACACACTCGCTCGCGCGTCCTTGTTCAATCCCGTTCATCCTTTTCATCCTTTTCAATCAATCATTCCCTAAAATACAAAACAAACATGCGCTCGTAATATTCGAGTTGCGAATACACACTTTTCATCATCAAAGCAGCCCCCGAGTAGACGGGGAGAGGGAACGTTTGCGGTCGGAAAGGATGTTTGAACAACGGTTCAAATAAATAAAAAAATTATTTCTCGGATTTAATTAAACTTAGAAGTTGCCAGAGCCGATCGGAAACCCCGACTCGAGGCGCAATTAATCGGTTCCTTTATATTCAACCATAGTATAATACAGTAGGGAAACTCTCGAGATTTTTTTCGAGTTAGTCTCGAACGAGGTAACAAATTTGCTGCGCGTGACACCGGCGCGCTAACATATCCCCGTTCTAACGAATAAATATACTACATATAAACTTCTTTATACAGAAAATCGATAGAATGTTTAATTTTTAATTCGCATTTGATTAATATTTGCGAACACTTTGTATACATCTCCGGAACGAGCCGCGTTCGAGTAGAGACAATGTTCTCCTCTTATGCGATCATCGGACTGTGCAATTAAATTTCCACCATTCTGGATATCAATATTGACTCCGTTTATCTGGAACGGATACGTACATATATCTATCCGTATCTAGTGCGTCTGTATCTGTATAATGTCACATCTATTAGACTAGAAACTAGGAAAGGACCTCTTTGTATCCAAACCGGCTCGACGCTTTGTAATTCGCAATTCCCCTTTCGAGAGATTGAACTATCGCAGAATAATCGAGCAAACGGATACGAGAGTAAGATCGATAAAAATCACAGTTTAATCGGGAATTCGTTCATCCAGGCGTGCGAATGCTGGACGGCGTGGTGAACGACGCCGTCGAGGCGCGAGCCCTCGGGCTCAACCCGGAGCACATCGACATCTACAGCGCCTCGTGGGGCCCCGAGGACGACGGCAAAACGGTGGACGGGCCCGGCCCGCTGGCCCGCCGGGCCTTCATCTACGGCGTGACCAGCGGCCGAAAGGGCAAAGGTTCGATATTCGTTTGGGCGTCGGGCAACGGCGGCCGGCACACGGACTCCTGCAACTGCGACGGCTACACCAACAGCATCTTCACGTTGAGCATATCCAGCGCGACGCAAGGAGGGTGAGTTTTTAGTTGTTGCGAATCTGCGAATCGCGACGAGATGTTGTATGGTTCGTTTGCAGTTACAAACCTTGGTATCTCGAAGAATGTTCCTCGACGTTAGCTACCACGTACAGTTCAGGTACACCGGGTCACGATAAGAGCGTAGCTACGGTGGATATGGACGCTAGATTGAGACCCGATCACATTTGCACCGTTGAGCATACTGGAACGTCGGCTTCAGCACCATTAGGTAAGATGGTAACTAACAACTCGTAATATTTACGATTGATTTTCGTGGCGTTTCCAGCCGCCGGAATTTGCGCTTTGGCCTTGGAGGCGAATCCGCTGTTGACGTGGAGAGACATGCAGTATTTGGTGGTGTTGACATCGCGATCGGGACCGTTGGAGAAAGAATCCGGTTGGATATTGAACGGCGTCAGACGGAAAGTATCGCACAAATTCGGCTACGGTCTAATGGACGCCGGCGCTTTGGTTACCCTTGCCGAAAAATGGACCACCGTACCCCCTCAGCACATTTGCAAGAGCCAAGAGGTGCTCGAAGACACCGCCATAAGTCCCACATACGGTAATTAATCGCCTATTTAAATTAAAACGATGTTAAACATGTATTAATTTAGGTTCCACTTTGGACTTCTACATGGACGTGAACGCTTGCAGCGGCACCTTGAACGACGTCCGCTTCTTGGAGCACGTCCAATGCAAAATCACCTTGCGATTTTTCCCCAGAGGCAACCTCCGCATTTTGCTCACATCGCCGATGGGCACCGTCAGCACCTTGCTCTTCGAACGGCCCAGAGACGTGGTGAGCACCAACTTCGACGATTGGCCGTTCTTGAGCGTCCACTTTTGGGGCGAAAAGGCCGAAGGCCGGTGGAAATTGCAAATCGTCAATTCCGGCAATCGGCAAGTAAACCAACCGGGAGTGTTGAAGAAATGGCAACTCATCTTCTACGGTTAGTGTTACAATATCCATCAACTTTGTGACATTCCTAATGTGATGGTTTGCAGGTACATCGGTGAATCCGGTGCGATTGCGCCCGACCAACGGCGCCCGTTCGACGCCGTGGAAGTCGCCGTTGAACACGTTCACGTACGCGACGCCCTCGCAGGCCGTCACGCCGGTCGACGATAATAATTTCTTCGACGAGAACGGCTTCAGGAACTTCCAGAACGTCCAGAACGTCTATTCGTTCGCCGGCTCCGAACCGGAGGCGGTGGTCAGCTCGTTGGACGGCAAAAATACCAAAGTCAGAGACAACCAGGCGAATCAGGCGCTCGACGACGACGAGACGAAGGTCGGTTGCGACGATCAATGCGACGAGCAGGGTTGCTTCGGACGGGGATCCACCAAATGCGTGGCTTGCAGGAATAAGAGGATGGATAGGTGAGTGGTATACCGAGCGTCCAGGTTCGAGCGCTGCCAACAGTAGAAAGAGAGAATCAATCGGCTGACGAATGTAGCGCTCGACCTTGAACGCATGGTATAGAGACTAGGATATCTAATCTATTGAGCTCCAGTAGCTATCAACTTGTCAGTATATACTCTTCGGTTTTATTTTCCTCGTCCCGAGGTATTGGTTAAAGAGTGTGAATAATTAACGATTGTTTTTTTGTCCGCAGGACTTGCGTGTCGAATTGCCCGCCGAGGAGCTATTCGGATTCCCAAAACGTGTGTCAACCGTGTCACGAGGCATGCGAAACGTGTACCGGGCCCGATCAGAAGAGCTGCTTGACCTGCGCCCCCGGTCACGTGAAAGTCGTCGATTTGGACATTTGTTTGCAACAATGCCCCGAAGGTTATTACGAAAGTGAGTACGCTCTGAAGCCGATCCGTATGCGATACCAAACGAATGTTTAACCATTGTAGATTTCGCCGATAAAACTTGCATTCCCTGCCAACCGAACTGCCTCGGTTGCCAAGACAGACCGGACCATTGTACCAGCTGCGATCACAATTTGCTGTTGTATCAAAACAAATGTTTGGCTTCGTGTCCGTTGAATACCTACGAAACCGACGATTACGGGTAATTAATAAACGAATACTGTACGACAAAAAAAAACAACCTAATAATCTTTTTACCAGGTGCGCTTCGTGTCACGAATCCTGCGAAACCTGCACCGGCTCGAACAGTTCGCAATGCATATCGTGCTCGTACGGCAAGTACTGGCACGAAGGTCGTTGCGTCAAAGAGTGCCCGGCCCATCATTACGCCAATTTCGAGCAGAAGGAGTGCATCGAATGCCCGCCCGGTTGCAGCGAATGCAACAAGTCGACGTGCCTCAGCTGCTTGGACGATTGGAAGGTGAACAACAAAGGTCGATGCGTGTCGCAGAACAGCGACAAATGCGACGTCGGTAAGTCTACTAGGTGTTGTTGTATAACATTCGAGACTATGTTTGTTTGTTTGTATGTTTGTTAGATCAATATTACGACAATAGCATATGCAAACCTTGTCATTCGACGTGCGATTCCTGCGACGGGCCGACGGAGAAGGCTTGCCTGTCCTGCGCTAGTCCGTTGGTGTTGCAGGGCACCAAATGCGTGGGCGAATGCGATAAGGGTTTCTATAACGAAAGGGACGGTCACGTTTGCCAGCCGTGTTTGCACCCGTGCGCCAGATGCGTCGCCAAAACCAATTGCACCGTCTGCAGGAGCGGATTACAAGTTAGTAAAAAACTATATACTTCATCCATCCAACCAACGGAGTAACCAAAACAAGGTTAGACGCCTGATCACCATGCACATTTGCATCTATTGGGCAAAACAGAAAAGCCTCCTTACGCTGGCCAATCACTGGTGATCACGCGTTGATCCAGCGTCTAACCTTGTTTTGGTTACTCCATTGGTTGGATAGATGAGGTATAGTATTTCTAATACACGATGTTAATTGGTTATTTCCGTAGCTTCAAAGCGGCGAATGTCGCACGACCTGCGCTACCGGTTACTACAGCGATAAGGGCGTTTGTCTGCGATGCTATATGAGTTGTAAAACGTGCAGCGGCCCGGGACCGGATCAATGCGTCAGTTGTCCCAACGGTTGGCAACTTTTGTCGGGCGAATGTCGACCCGATTGCCCGGAAGGTTACTACAAAACGGAGTACGGCTGTCAGAGGTGTCACTACGGTTGTCGGAATTGTCCGGGTTAGTAAACGTTTTGATAGTTAACGAGTCGCTTGCAAAAGGGACTTCTTGTACATGCCCAATGGGCACTGCATTACCCTGTGCATGTGCATCACCCGATATTTAGCGTAATGATAGTAATATGAGGTCATTCCCCAATCGAGCAAATTTTCTTTTACCTAGAACGTCGCTTCTAGGATTTTCCCGGATATGCGGTTTGTGGCAAGTAATAAGTAATAAAGTAAAGAATATTTTAGGAAAGTTTCGAAAGAAATGTCCGAGTACTTTCCGAGGAAATCCCGAAAAACCCAAGAAATCGCGGAAAATCCAAAAAATCGCGGAAAATCCGATTTTTCGCCGAAAAGGAGACTTTTCCGAGTTTCGAAAAGTCGATTTTCCCATCGGGCATGTCCGTTTACGTAGGATTAGCTACTTTTTCCCGTGGAAAAAGACAAATTGCAACCGTAAAAAAACACGCCAATGAATGAATGTCTCTTAGAGTTACGTTATAGTTATAGTGAAATAGAAAAGCTAACATTAATTTGTTTGCAGGTTGCAAAATGGAGGAAGACAAACGAAAAATCAACGTGGAAGCACTGCTGTTGTCCGCCCAACCGGTTTCAACCTTACAAATAGTTAATCCCTTCAATTTTATCACTGGTATAGCAATAATGGCGTGTCTGTGTGTGATTATTCTCTTCATCACCATATTTATTATTTTGCAGGTAAATTATTTATGCAAAATTATTCACTGACGATTTTATTAATATACTGCTCCAAAAAAGTTAAGGAAGTTGACAAATATTGAGATTAATTTAAAAGTTGCAGGTTTTTTGATCGCCAAATTTAGTATGAATTGTAGAGGTAGGGGCAAAAAATCCACTTAGATGTGAGAGATAACATTTAATTTCGCATATTTGAAAATTTGGTGATCAAAAAGTCTGTAACTTTTAAAATAATCGCAAAATTTGCGCACTTCCTTAACTTTTGTGGGGCAGTTTATTTTATTGTCGTTTGTATTCGCAGAAAAGTAGCTTTCAAGCCCACCAAAGAGGTTACAGTAAAGTGTCGATAAAGAAGCCGAAAGTGACGTGCAACTACAACGTGGTGTCCGTTAGCGATGGTGATTCGAGCGATTCGGATAGCACGGAAGGGCGAAATCTCATCCCTGCCGCGAAACAGCCGGAAAGGACTTCTTGTTAAACGCACAGAGTATAAGACAAATTTTTTAGATCGTTTCAACGAATTCGATTGGCGTTCATCTTCTATACTATTGTTAGTTTTTACGTCGCATTCTCTTTTATTTTAATTAGACGGACGTGAGATTGACAAATCTATCATATACAGGTTGCTTCTTTTCTACTTTGATGAAACTTTTAGAGATCTATTACAGGCAAGTATTTGTTTGAAAATGCATTTCTGAACAGAGGTTTCTTCTCCGAGGTGACTTGTAAGCACTCTGTATATTTTATTGTAAATCTGATTTGTTGATTGAACGCTCAAAAAAAAGTACATTCGAATTTGATGAACGAATTTTTATAGTAACGTTTTTAATATATAGTGTAAATATATTCCAAAACATCCTGTCTTCATTGTCTCCCCATTTGAATATGCGGTAAATATTTTTTTATAATAGGTATGTGTATATTTTTAAATTTAGTTAAGAGGAAAATGTTGATATTGTCTGATCATAATTTGAACAAAATATAAATCCTAAATTTATAATATAAGTAAAGTGATTTTATTGTCTAGTTTATTTTTTTATTATTTTTCCTCTTGGCTTTGCTATATTGTAAAAAGTAAATAATATAGTATTGTATATCGTATACTGTCGTTGTAAATACAAACGCTACAAAGAAAATTAAAATTTGTACCAAAAAAAATTGATATTTTAGTTAGATAAGAAATGGTAAAAGTGTCAACGACAAAATAATAAATTATATACAAATTGCGCTATTACCACCAATTTACACCATTTCCCGTTGATACTTTTACATGTGTATCAATGAAGACAGCTCAATGTATAAAAAAATTAAAAAAAATTAAATTTTAAGAAGCGAAACTTAAGTGCTCTTGAATATTTCATGTCGTAATAAATATATGGTTATTTTTAAATGTACACTTTGTATATAATCAAAAATAGGTAATTGTTTGAAAGTTATTTATGAAATTTTACCGTTTGTATACATACATCTCGAGAGAAAGATGAGAATTAATCGTCAAATGTTGTCACTTCAACGATATATTAATTATATTTAGGTGGTCCAAATAAATATGTGCCCCCCTTCTCCTTTTTGTTGCACGAAATTTCTCTCATATTTTTCGGTTTTAACGAAAAAAATATCGAGAAAAATACAGGGTGAGTGAATTTAAGGATGTTTAAATTTATGCGATTCAATTTTATCTTCAAAAATACAAGTTTTATTTAAAAATTTTATCCCTTAACATTTAAACTCACCAAATTGCAACAAATATTAATTGTCTATTATTATTAATTAACCAGACCACTTTTAATTTTTTACTTTTTATAATATGTATAATTACCTAGGATGCAAAAAAGAACATTGAAAATATCTTCTATACCGTTCGTGTATAGATTCAATATTATATAAGATATATAATCTAGTCTACTACACACTTAATAAAAAAAAACATTTATGTATCCTAGATTAAACGAAAATAAATTAATACTTTATATTTTATACAAAATTCGTTTAGTTATACAGGGTGGCCCAGAACTTGTCGTTTCCATAAGGCCTTTCCCGGTGGGGCGTGAGTTCTGGGCCACCCTGTATTTGAAAATTTGAAATAAATTGATTATAAATGTGAATATGAACCTTTCTATTTTCCTTCGAACGAACCGTGATCGACACCCTATCCTTAAAATTCCCTGTACCTATAAATCGTAAGGAAACATTCATTACAACATTTATAAAGATCACACTGATAAGAAATCTAAAAGTTGTCATTTCAGTTAATAAATAAAAGTTTTAATAAAAATGTTCCTTTTATTAATATGTGCCAATTAAAAATAACGTTAAAATGTCATTTATGAAGTTATTACATTACTTTTGTCGACTTTGTAATAAATTCCAATAGAAATGATGGACAAAACCGCCTAACAGTTTCCTACATTTGTTTTAAAGTAGGTTCGTCAGTTTATTAGTAGATGGCGCCACTGATGGTTTTACAAATTTATAAATGAACATGTCGGCGCCCGGAGCGCTCAGCAGGGTGTGGGATCTCTCATAGGAAAATGCTAACGCAAGTTTTAGTAATGTGCAATCATAATAGGTGGCGCTACTTGTATACAAGTTTGTTATTTTGGTGCTTATCGAGCACCCTACGAGTAAAATTGGTCACACTGATATACAAACGAACAGACATTTGGTAAAAATTTGAGTTGGTAACTAAGGTATTTGTGGAATTTAAATTTTACTTAGTTTGAATTTTCGTAAATCTTATCCAATACGATTTCTGACTTCGTCGTGCAATTTTCTATTTTCGTTGTTTTTTATACTAATCGTTGTGCTATAATATATTTTGTTCATTCTGTCGTTTACGGTTTCACGATTTAAGTTATTACTTAAGTGTTTTGTACTGTTTTTATTTTAATTTGTAACATAATTTGTGTTATCAAACATGGTGCGAATTCGTCCTTGTTGTGTACCTAGTTGTCAGGATAAAGTTAGTCGTAGGTAAGTTATGCTTTTAGATGTTATAATTTTAATTGTTAATAAAAAGTGTTAGTATTTTAAAACCTTATATATCACCCTCTATTTTACTTTAGATACCATATTCCTGCTGATAAAGCAGTTAGCGACGTATGGTTGCAACGAATTGGAAATGAAAATTTATTAAAAAGTAAAGACTTGAAAAAGTTGAAATACTTTGCAGTCTGTGCTAATCATTTTAGTACTGACTGCATACAGGCAAATGGACATTTATTACCTAATGCATTACCATCATTAAAATTAACAGGTAGGTTCACATGAACGTAATAAATAAAGCCATAATATCAACGGCTAGTGTATGTGCAATTTTATTAGTTTATGTTTTTTTAGAAAATATGAATAATCCAATTTTAAGTTGTTTTTTGCAAACACGTGAAAAAGATGCAAGAATTACTACACCTAAGAAAATTCGAGGTAATTAACATTTTTTTTTTAATTTTTATTATTTTTTAATAACTTTATTTTAAAAGAAAAAATTTAATAATTTTATAATTTTTTTTGCAGAAGCTTTGAAAAGGAACTTCTTAAGTTCATCTAAATTATCTCCTACTGAAAAGTTGAATGTTATGAAGCCCAAATTATTCTACTCATCAAAACGGAGATTAGGTAAATATTTACACATATATTTAGTAGACTAACTAGAATATACATTTTTTTAAAGCGCATTTAAATTTCATTTTTATTTTCTAACTATCTTTGTTTTTGTGTGAGTGTGCATGTGTGTATCTGGTATTTTAGCAGAAAGTTTATATCTTAGTTTTAAGTGTCATAATATTCTCATTTTGATAAACTGAAGTAATATTAGGAATGATTTAAGTTAATAGGGTGAAGTGGATAGGGTTTTCTGCATGTAAATGGTAACCACTTAAGATACTAATCTAGTGCAGATTGCAAGAATTTCTGTTCAATATTTTCACACTTTATCTAATATTGTCATTATTGGAGCGTTGATGTTATTATTCTTAAATGTCAGCACTCAAAATAAATTGTTGAGGTTGAATTCTATATTTAAGTGGTAACCACTTAAGGCATCAATTTGGTGGAGATTACAAGAATTTCTATTTAATACCTATATTTCACACATGTCCTATTGTTATTATATTATTACTGTTAATCCGGTCCAAATGCGTTACAAAACAAACATTTTTTAGAGAATTAAAAATTTGTAATAATTCTATTTATGGTGTATAGATACTGAAAGTGAGCCTTCGACTTCAAAGGGTATAGAAGATTATGATGAACATAAGATGTCTCATTGCCGAATATTAGGTAATTAAATTAGTAAAATTTTATTGTCAATTTCTAAATTTTAAATTATCTTTTATAGCAGAAAATCCTCCTTTGTATGCCCATGAACGTTGCAAAAGTGAAACCACCAATTTGAATATTTCTGATACACCGGCTATCAAAAAAGGTAAAAAATAGATAAATGTAATATTTTGCAAAAGCTTCGACAAGACGAGTGGCTGAAAAATGTCAATATTCTATATAATAGGTCAATTAATTACATAAAGAAAATTTAGTTATTATGATTTACAATTTGTATTTTTTTTCTTTAGGTACATACAAACAAAGAGGATTTCTTTCTGTGGCTGGAGTTACCAGGCAACACCTGCTGTCCCCTGATGCTAAAGAATTGTATGTAGCTGCTAAAAGGCTGCAAACAGCAAACAGGAGCAATAGGAGATTATCGGCAAGTAAGAAGTTGCAATTTTTTTCTAAAAAAACACAATGTTTGTCGCGTTTGAGTAAATTATTAGAAAAAAGTAATGTAAATAGTGCAACATTTAATTTTATATTATCGCAGCTAAAAATGCAAAAATATAAACCTAGAGGTAGACGATTTACAATAGACGACAAAATTTTAGCTTTGTCAATTCAAAAACAGAGCGGTAAGAGTTATAAATTCTTGTCAAAATTTTTTAGTTTACCTTCGCGTAAAACTTTAAGGAAAGTAATTTCTAAGATTCCGTATATGCCAGGGTTAAATAGTTCGGTTTTAAACCACATAGACAGTCAAGTCTCTAAAATGCAACCATTGGATAAGTTTTGTGTGTTGATGTTTGATGAAATATCTTTGAGGTGCGGTCTCGATTTCAATGCGACAACCGATTCAATAGACGGATTTGTAGATTTTGGTAAGGGAAATAGGCGATTACAATTTGCAGATCATGCTCTTGTATTTATGCTGAAAGGCTTACATAAACAATGGAAATTGCCTTTTTCATTTTTTTTATGTGAAGGTACCACACCGACTGCCGATTTAGTCGTTATTATTAAAGAGGTAATAAGAAACGCTCGGTCAGTGGGTCTACGCATTGTATGTACTATTTCGGACCAAGGATCTACAAATCAAGCGGCTATTAATTGGTTGAGGCATGAAACTAATGAATATTTTTTAAGAACTGGGGAAGAAAATAAACTCTTCGGATATCTTATCGATGGGGAAGGTGAGGAAATTATACATTTGTATGACTTTCCTCATTTATTGAAAGGTATCCGTAACAGACTTCTTCAAAAAGATCTACATTACACACAAAACGGTGTTCAAAAGGTAGGGTCTTGGAGACACATTCTAAAAATGTATGAAATGGATAAAAAAATGGGTGCATTTAGCCAGTTCTATAAAATAACTGACGAGCACATTTATCCAGAAAAAATTCAAAAAATGAGAGTTAAAAATTGTACACAGGTCTTTAGTCATACCTTTGCTACCTCGCTGTATGTTGCGTCTAGTTACAGTGCCGAATTGCCTTCTTCCTCTTCAAAATATATAGAGCCTGAATCATCTCAAACTGCCGATTTATTATTATTTTTTGACAAATTATTCGACAGCGTAAATGGAAATTCCTTGAATCCTTCACCGGGCAAAACATTACGTACTGTTGTAAAAAAAAATTCCAATCACATTCAATTTTGGTATTCCTGCCTTCCTGTTCTTCGATCTATGTACTTCACTTCACCCGACTCCTCTTCTAAATTTATTCCCCCTTCTTTAAAAAATTGGATTTTTTCTCTACGGGGAATAATTTACTTAACTCCCAAAATATTAAATTCTGGTTTCGTATATTTTGCGCCACGAAACTTAAATCAAGACCCGGTGGAAAATTTCTTTTCTTCTGTTCGTAGTTACGCTGCAAGGAATAATAATCCCACATGTTCTTCATTTATTTCCACCTGTAAGTCATTATTAATGAATAACTTAGTGTCCACACGCTCTATAGGTTCAAATTGCGAGGATGATGAATCTGATGGTGTTTTAACTAATTTTAGAAACTTTATAGTAGGCGCTTCAACTAGTCAGATTTCAAAAAGTCCTGAAGTAAAAACACCATGCATGCCAGAATTCGAAGCAATTCCTTTAACTGACCTCAATAATTATGCAACCAATTACGTTGCCGGTTTTATATTAAAAAAATTTGGGAATTCATGTAAAGAATGTGTGCATCTTTTGTATGAAGGGGAGCAATTTGAACCTCTTAACATCCTTATCAGAAGAAGGCAATTTGAACATTGTACACTAAATCATCCTTCGTCAAATTTTACAAACTGCTTTAAAAAATGTACACAGATTATCCTTCACAATATTCCTGTCCTGTGTACAAGTTTTAATATTAAGTCTAAATTATACAAAATAATTGTTGAAAAATATAAGATCGAAATTCAACAATTGTTTTGTAGCAGTCACTCGAACAATTTAAATATATTTATTAAAACTACCGTAAACTTAATTGTACATAATTATATAAAAACAATAAATAGAATCTTAAGAGGTAAAGACCGTAGAAGAGTTGAACAAGACCCTTTAACAAAAATGGCATATACGAAATACTTAAAAAGATGGAAACATTAGTATAAAATTGTAGTTTTTCTGTATTTATATTTGATTTTATTTTTATTATGTATTATGTAAAGTATTCACGAATTTAACGGATTATATTATTTTTGATTTTATTTATTTATTTATTTATTAGTTTTGTATATGTATTTTTTACATATTACTTATTTTACCAATTTTTTACGAATTAAAAATAAGTCTGGTATTCAGTGTTTTATTTAACATATTTATGTCATTTTACCTGCACCTACAAATATTGGGTTATAGCTACCAATTTTGTTTAAACTGAGTCCAATGTTGAAACTGATCAAGTTTAAATTGCTTTAAATTTATTTCATTTAACAATATTAAACTTGATTAGTTTTAACATTGGACTCAGTTTAAAGAAAATTGGTAGTCATTCATAACCCGTTCAAAGAATAATTTTAAAATTCGCGCTAATTAAGCGGTACCGCCATCTATTGAAACTATTATTAACAATTGATAGAATTCTATTTATTTTCTTCTTTTTTAAACACATACTGTGCAACAACAACAGATGGCTCTGAGGATAGATATTAAGAAATATCAGAACTTGAGTATATTTTTTTACTGTAGAGTGGCCCATCTATTTTGGTATTTGTCTATGGCGCTCAGTACCTCCTTTGCCACGGCAGGGGTATGTTGCTCATTTTTAAATTCAAAAATTACGATAGTAAATCTTGAGAAACTCATATCATCTTCATGGTAGAATGGTAGAATATTTGATAATTGGAAAATATTTGCGCTCCCAAGCCTCCCCCACCGGTACCACCCCTTTGCTATACTTTCTTAAGTAACCTAAGCATATGTTAAGGTGCGCGATGTGTTAGATGCGCCATCTATTAGATTTTTGTCGGACCAATATTCGCTGTATGGTTACTAATAGATCGGCAACCAGTATTTCGGATATTAGAAACTTATAAATGTTAAATTTTTACCATTTTTTTCGTAAATCTCAATAGAAAGTTTCTTTTTATATAAATACGTTCATATTTTATACCTTTTAATTAAAAATAACAATATTTCTATGTAAAAATTTATTTAATAAATAGAATACAACAGGCTAAAATAAATTTATCACACAACAATCTACTCATCGACAATTTACAATGTGTTATGATAAGGAGCTGTAATAGGAACCCCAGGGGGCACAAAAAGAGAAATTGCACAGCAACTGTACTACAACAGAAGAACTTTGTTGTAAAGCAAATGTTATACAGGTGCTAAACGAGTGTTTTACTACAAAGTGCCTAGAGAATTTATACAACCTTTCCGTACAGATTTCATACAACTGGGCCGCAAATAAGTTGCACAACATTGCTCTAACATGAACGTACGTTCATTTGAGGTATTATCTATCGTATATCTAGTATATCTAGCTTTATCCGTAACATATACAAATAGAACGCGGTTTTTCACACAAACGACTCTTCCAGATTTTTAATATAGTCCATTAGTAAATCACTTCATACACGGTGGCTTTCTTGTCCCCTGAACCGGTCACAATTTCCGTATTTATCGTTGGAGGAGTTGTCAGAACTTAGCACTTGAAGATTCTTTTTACTGGAAAAGAAAAATATTTAATTAATTTCTTCGTTTCTGAGAATAATTCGATGAAAATATATAAATGTAAGTAAGAAACGCCGAAAGTGGGTAAACATTTATACAGGATACAGGGTGAAAACGCCAAATGGAATACATTATGGAATACAACAGCCTTATTTATTCTAAAAAAATCAACCATTTTTCAACACCTCAACGGCCTCCACCATTACGGCTATTCGGCCTCTTACACTAAGACCATTCAACCACCTTTCACCGAATTTACCAACAATTTCCCCCTCTGTTTTTCGACGACTCCGGTCCTGTTATCCGGGGAGGAGGGCCCCCGCCTCCGCTCCGGCGGATTCCTGAGCTGTTGCGTCAAAACACGTGGGATCGCTATTTACTGCAAGTGCCTTTTTCTGAACTCTACGTTCCATGAAAACCAGGTGGGCCCCGACATTTTTTCCCCATCTAATTCGAACACGTTTCCTACGGACTTGTTTACCATAACAATTCAACCGTAATAGAGAATTTATTAATCCACTCAAAAAGTACTATAGGTACTCACTAAAATTCTAGTTAAACAACTTCAAACGCTCTAATTTAATCATCTCTTACTCCCTTTAACTCTCAAATCCCTATAAATTTTCTACCCATAATATACTAGTACTTCAAAACTGGTATAGTAGTACCAATACAACACGAAACAAGTGTCTACAACACTCTAAATATCCTACAAACGACCCAGTACTTACATTTATTAAATTATTTATAATAATATCTAGGTTTCGAGACGATCTCGGAAGAGTACCGCGGTACCGACACCTACGTGAGGAGCGCGCGAATGCCGCCCGGTCGATGGGACAAGGTGATCCGATCGCGATGGTACTGGTACTACCTATATGCCTATATCTCGTGCAGGCGAGGCGAGGCGGATCGTTATTCCCAGTTGGTACCGTCAGGTAAACGTTGATAGGAGAGTACCGCTCCGGCGATTGAGGTGTTTTGAAATCTGTGACGGTTGTTTCGTTTGGCGCGTGCTGGTACTAGTGGTACTACCCCGGGTCGTGTTGTTGACTAGTTTTGCGCGAATTGGTGGTACCGAGTTGAATTTGAATAGGTGATTTTTTTTGTTAATTTAATTAGTAATTTTTAGTACTAACAATTGGGTACTGCTTTGAGTCGAGTTGATTGTTTGTATGAAATTTTTAATGCTAACTATTGTGTGGGGATTAAAAAGTAATTGGGTAGATTTGAATGGTTGGAATTGAATTATTTTACTCGATTTGTAATTGCGCAATTACTCGTACCGATGCGAGCGCCTAAATAAATCAGTGAGATTTGAAAGTATGTATGTAAAACCACGATTTATGTTAATTTGCCCGAAGACATTCGCATGGTATCTCTTGAGATGCGAATCTATTAATTTTCCTTTTACGAATCTCTAAAATAATCTCTATAATTCGCTTAAATTTTCGTAAAAAAAATTATAATTAGACGGGAAATTTCATTTATTCGCATTGTGAATCATGCTAATTTAAAAGCAGTTCCAAGAATTCATAAATGTTTTACATATTAACCAGCGGAAACTGGTCTAGTAAATAAATTCCAGTTAATTACAAACCCATTTTAATCGCATAACCGCTCAATTTTCCCGTAATTTCGCCCGCGTGTGTGTTTCACAGGCATTCTTCTTCTTTTTCGCGATTCACCTCGGAGCGTCCTCCACCTTTGCGGTTTTCGGTACACTCGTTTGCTGAATAAAACGGCCTTGATCCGCCTTGTATATGGTCACGTCGACTCGACGTTACCTTTATCTTCCTAAAAATGGTCGTGCAAGGCAAGGGCGAGCTCGCTTTTTTACAACAATAAAACCGTTGAGTAATCCTACACAAATTAACATGTACGGAGCGTCCGATTTGCTAAACTCAAACGGGCCACCCTGTATACTTGCATACATGCCGGTACTACATAATTAGTTATATTTGCTCGATGATCGAATCGACTCGTTGACACAAATTCGACCTTGGGTCTCGCGATTTCGTCTCTGAAACAAATAGGTATATCAAATATAGGCGTGTTAAAAGTTATTTAATTATGAATGGGAATTAAATCGGTCGCCTTTTGAGCGAATCACCCTGTAGAATAACAGCGATAGAGGAAAAGGAACACATTTCTCATGCCCATAGAATGAAAAAAAAAATACAAAAGTATCCTAACAATAGGTAGCCTGAAACAACTTTCAGGTGTTTGAATGATTTACAATCGGAGATAAAACGGCGCAATTACCCACGTACAGTAATAATAATAATCGTTATGATAATAAAAAAGAATGTTGTTTTGTTTCGCCGGTCTCATTGATACAATTAATAATTATTACTAAAGTTCGTACCCATTAAAATTGACGATGACGTCATTTTTTAGTGATTTCCGCGTAGTTTAACATTTCCCTAGGGTCAATGTTAATTCTGCCATTTGACTAGGGAAATTTTGCGACGCGCGGTTGAATTGCCGATGCGTTGTTGCCACATCTATCTCGAAATTTGTATTTGTAGTCGACACGTTTTGGCTACAATTTGTTATTTTTGTGACTTCCTAGACGTTCTAGGCAGTTCTAAATGATTCTAGACAGTTCTAAATGGCTCTGGAGTGTTCTAGATAGTTTTGGACAGTTCTAAATGATTTTGGAGCGTTCTAAATTGGTTTAGGCAGTTCTAAATGATTCTAGACAGTTCTAAATGGCTCTGGAGCGTTCTAGATAGTTTTGGACAGTTCTAAATGATTCTGGAGCGTTCCAAATTGGCCTAAGCAGTTGAGTAAGAAATGAAAATGAGTAAGAAAGAATAGAAAATATCCGTCATATGTAAAGAACTTCGATAATAACCCGGCAACATTGCAACATGCTGGTTCGTGACGTCATATTGTCATTTTAAAACGTACGAACTTTACCTAATCTGTTTATACGAACTGTAAACAGTCCTTTCTTTTTTCCTTCGCGGAATATTTATATAATTTTCGATAGATAAACAAACGGATTACGCAACATCTCCAATGAGCGTTGTAAATTAGATAATTACATAGCTCTTTTGAATACAATCAATACAATTTTTTTTATTATGTTTCAGTGGAAACGGAACGGAATTTCTGGCGGCGTAGGCGATGATTTAAATCGAAAAATGACGGAAGTTGCGAGGAGTTTGGTCCCGGCGGGGCACGGGATTACTTCTATCAGACAATACGAGGCGGCGCCTCCTTTGGGCGCGGAATTGGTAAGAAAACCGCTCTAGAACATCTAGAGAACATGTATTTTATTAAATCCAGTCGGCTTTCTTTTTCGGAACGAGCGCTCGAAATGAAATAAATCAATTATCCGTTAGTAGAAATGTATTAAGTATGCAACCAGTTTTACATGTGCAGGTAATGTGCATGAAATGTGTGATCAGAAGAGAGAGAGAGAGAGAGTGAATCTGTCAAGTCTCCTGTCGTAGCTGTTCGTGTATGTTCGTTTGCAAACGTCATTGTAATAAGTTCCAATTAGAGAAGGACAAAAGCATACAACTCAAAACTTCTATGAGAAGGAGGATTCGGCACGGAACACCGTTTTGAATATGACAAGTGTTTGGTGTGTTACCTGTGGCGTACGAAAAGTTTTCTACCAGTATCAACAACATTATTCTAAAAATTGCAAAATATTTTGGTTACTCTTTCGCTCTAATGACATTGGTTTTATGATAATATAAAAACGATTATTGTTATTCAAACGAGGTATTCCGAAATTACGAGTACATAAGTACCACACGAATGGTACCGAAAGTACTTTTTTTCTGGCTAATATAATGACGTATGGCAATTGTAAACGATACATAATTGCACGTTAGGCGTACGTATAATATTATAAACGCCGCAATTTGAGCAATAATACTATTATATTCGGTTACGTAAGGATCGACTTTCTTTGCCCGTAGTATTTCGAATGATTTATATCTGTTGGTACTACCTAATAGAACGAAGATGAGAACGAATTACACGCACAAGTCATTACCGGATCGTACTTGTACTCGATTCGTTCAAACGTGTTTTCTGGAGGACTGTTGTGAGGAAATCGAGTACCACTCAACTCGACCGGTTAGCGAGAGTACCGGAGTGGAATCCGGAGAAAAATATTAGAGCAATTGACGAGCACCCTAAATTTGCGAGTCGATTAAAGGCGACCATACACCGAGGTTGTTTTTATTTGCGAGTCGATTAAAAGTGAAAAATGGCCATATATTGATATGTTAATTTTTTTTGAGCCGACTAAAGGAGTCCATGTACTAATGTTGTTGTTTTTTGAATTAATTAGAGGTGTCCATGCACTGATGGTATTTTTCCGAGTCAATATATTGGCTTTTTTTTGTTTCGAGTCAATAAAAGGTGTCCTTACACTCGAATTTTTTACGGATCAATTAAAGGTGTCCATACGAGGATGTTTTTTTTTAGTTTCGAGTCGATTAAAGGTGTCCATAAACTGCTGTTTTTAGTTTCGAGTCGATTAAAGGCGACCATACGCCGATGTTTATTTGCTAACTAAAGCAATTTACGGTCGCGCCTATAAACGTTATTTTATTAGCGCATTTAAAATTTATCGTGCGCTCTTTCGAAGAACGAAGAAGAAAAAAAAACCGGGACGAAAAACGCGGGTGTATTATTGCGATATAATAAAATATATTACCCATTTGGATCGAGTTTTCGAAGTTGAAAGGTCATAATGGCGAATTCCGATTCTAATCTATTCGAAACGAAGCGTTAAATAAACGTGTATTCGTTAGATTGTTAATTTATTTTATTTGCCCATACGTATATCGTTAAAAGTCGAATCGTTAAAATTAATCGATTGTTAAACGCCGGGCCTTTTCGTAATATTCATTAACAATTAACAATAAAGTTACTTTTACATTCTAAAATGCAATAGTTAGAATTTCGAATGCGTTAATTACAATTGTCTATTCTATAATATGTCATCATTTAATTAATTACACTTTCTTCAAGGTATTTACTATACAAAAGAGTGTTTACTAATAACAATAAAATCAAATACAGTGAATTAATTCAATGCAATATACACCGCATTGTTTTAAATCTGTCGCCGCATTGTTAATTCGTTCCGTTTGATCTTTACAGAACGATTAAATTAGGTTAATGTTATTTTGAGAAGGCGTTAAATAAACTTACGTTTATCGAAGTTCGATTAGATAACTTTAAATTGCACGTTAAATCCGATCGGTATGTTGCCGAGAGGTGCAGCGGTAATTCACCGGATTTTCATTTGCAATATAAGAAAATATTTTACTCAAAAATATGCATTAATAAAGTCACTAAAATACGATCTCAAATGGTTATTTAGATGTAGGTACTATACAAGACACGTCCAATATACCGTCCGGATTTAGCACTATATAATTTTTTTTTGTAAACGAGTTTTATCGTTTTGTAAAATTCTCATTGTTTTACGATTGCAATGCACTTGACAAAAATATTACGTGATAGTCGTGGGAGGGTTTTTCTATTTTTCAGATAGTAGCGCTATTCAATTGCAACTGGGACGGGAATCATTAACAGGTGGAGCAATTCTGTTTTTGCGCAATACGCTATTGTGTTCGAATTTTAGCACTGTTTCGCGAGGTTTGTACCAATTTTTTCGCGAACTAACGAAATTTCGGTTATTTTTTTTTGTACAGGGTGTTACTGAAGGACTTAGAGTAGAATACTAGATTCTGTTTGTAGTAATTCTAAGTAATTTGGAGGTTTTTGGGTGTAGATTCGGAGTAGATTTAGAGTATATTCAGAGTAGATTCAGAGTTGATTCGGAGTAGATACAGAGTGTAAGATTCTGAGTAGATTTAGAGTTGATTCATAGTAGATTCGGAGTAGATTAGATTTAGTGTATATTCATTCATTCAGAGTAGATTTGGAGTAGATTTAGAGTAGATTTAGAGCAGATCAGATTCATTCATAGTTTAGATTCATTCAGAGTGTATCAGATTCATTTAACGTAGATTCATTCAGAGTAGATTCAGAATTCATTAGGAGTAGATTTCATACAGAGTAGATTAGATTCATTCAGAGTAGATTACATTCATTCAGTGTAGATTAGATTCATTCAGAGTAGATTCGGAGTAGATTCATTCAGAGAAGATTCGAAGTAGATTCATTCAAAGTAGATTAGAGTAGATTCAGAGTTGATTCGGAGTAGATACAAAGTATAAGATTCAGAATAGATTCAGAGTAGATTAGATTCATTAAGAGTAGATTCAGACTAGATTTATTTATAATACTGACAATGAGCAAACTTTTCTTCAAAATTTTTGAAATATCAAAAATTTACGAAAAAAAAAACCTGAAACTCTTGAGCTATTCAAAACAAAACATTCTATTTAACTTAGACACCTTACAATTTCCTTTGAGCAATATACAACAGTCATTTGATTACACTAGATAATATTTGCTATTGCTAAATTACAGTAGATATTTATGAACCACCCTGTATATACCTTAAATTTATCCCCCAACCCATAACGAAACTGCGCATCGTATTTCGCTCGAACGCCATTAATAAATTAACCTTAGACCGTACTAAAATAGAACCGCGTAATAGTACTATTATACGAATAGTACTTACCTAGCATTTCCCGCGGTACGGGCTCTTTTCGAGTACCTATCGCTCTGTGTCGGGTCCGAATGCAATTTCTCAATGGCACTTTCGGTTCACGTTCCGCGAATAGTATTAACTATTAACGCGGTAGTACTACGCTGGTACTTACCGTAGGCGTATATTTTGTGAATTGAAAAATAGCGCGAAAATTTGAATATTGATTGATCGAGTGGAGTTTAATGGCGATTTTCGTATGGGGAAAGTGCCCGATAAAGGAGATGTGAAGGTTTGGAAAAAATTGTGTGTTTAAAGTGGACTACACTATTAAAATTATAAAAAATTGCGTACAATTAGCGAGTGATTTTAATTTAATCTTTCTCGAGTGCAATTTATTCGCGCCCTGATATAAAGGGGTCCGTACACGGTGGTTTTTGCTATCGAAAAATTTTTTGTGCAACATTAATTTAAACAGGATTTAACCTGTCGATTCGATAAGTTATTATGCACTTTATTAGGTACATAAATCGAATGCAAAACAATTATATAGGTGTGCCCGGACAGACCATTGTTTATAATTCGTTTCGTTGAAAATTAATGTTGAAAAATGCGAGTTTCTCACGACTCGCGAACGCCAAATAGGTTATTAGATATTTCTATTAGAATTTCATAAAACTAATTGCGCTATTTTCCAATAATACTACGAGTACCCAGCTAATTATTATACACCTGCGATTTCGCTTCGAACTGGTAACCGGTAAATGGATTATTTAATACCAACGTCCAAGGTAACGCGTCTAATGACATCGAATAATGTTCTTAATGCACTTGTATGTTCGATGACCCGCGGATGTTTCGAAAGAAATCTTCGAAAAAAGTATAATTGAAATGTATAAAAAGTCTTAGTCTAGCAGGCCTTGTTTTATACAGGGTGTCAATTAATGTTTTGTACTTGTTTTGAAGGTTGAAAGTGTTCAAATGTCTTCAGAAGATTGGTTTTCGATATATACAGGGTTGCAAAAGTTTTGTTTTTATTTAGGATGTACAGGGTGTGTCTAAATAAGACCGGAAAAATTTAAGGAGGGGAAAATCTTCAGAGGGTATGAGGGATTTTTCAAAAAAAACGTATACTGAGTACTCGCCTTTATTTTCATCAAATAATTGTCCTTTAATTTTTTTTTGGTGTTATTTAGATACTAAAGTAAGTAGTATGACTATTGCTCACCCCGAACTCGCTCTCGCTCCTTTATATACTATGGAGGAGTGTACTAGAAAAGGAGCGAGAATTTAATAAGTTAATTAACACCCTGTATAATTTACGAGAACATGATATTAAAACAAACAACCTCTCCTAGATTTCATGCAGGTCAGGTAATTCTATATTTATGATATAGCATAAATACATTTTATACTTTCCCAACGAAATTCATTGCGCTGCGTTCTCTTAATTTGACGTTTCTTATTTATATTCTTCTCTTCCAAGCATCTTACGAAATCGCATAATTAATCGAATTACGAATATTTTCTTCTATATCAAAAACTTCGATCTTTCGCGTTGTCATTATCCGAATTTCGCAATAAAATTCTACGACTTCTCTATTGCCACCGAATTGGCTCGACGTTTTATTCGTGAAAGTTATTTTTTTCGTTAAAATTTACGAATTCATTTAGTCGCTCTCACGTAAAGTTCGCGTTAACAATCGTTATTTTTACGATGTTTCGTGTATGGACCGCTTTATTCGAATTCAGGGTAATTACGATATTACAAATGTGACGAGCATTTAATAATTTTTATATACAGGGTGAGTCATGAGGAAATGGATATAATTTAACAGTGTATAGAAACACAACGATATTCTTTTCAAAAGAAATACAGGGTGATTTGTGGATATTTACGAAAGTTTGTGGTAAATTCGATTTGGTTATAGAAGTGTTTATTTTAAACCAGAAACGCACTAGTATACTCAAAATAAAAAATCCAGTACCGTCCTCAAAAAAAAAGGTAAATAATTTCAAATTTAAAATGTTTCACACAAAAATAAGTAACTCCTAAAGCCTGATATTTGGAAATTTTTAACTCTTTTTACGAAAAGGTCCTAAAGTTACCCCGTATTTCATCCTATAAAATCACCCTGTATTTCCTTAAGGTAACCCCTAAAGGGCCTCTACACACTACTAAAGTACGTACAATTCCTCACGACTCACCCTGTATACAGGGTGTTAATCGTATGAGTGAAAGTGTCTAGCTAATACGATGTTAATCGCTTGTAATTTGCGTACGATTTTCCTTCGTTCCAAATGGAAATGGTAATTTTACCGCCAAATACAGCCGCCTTCCTGCGCGATTTATCGCCGGAATGACAATAAGACATTTTGCCATCGAACCGTCTCCGTCGATTATTATTATACATTCGCGTCGAATTATTCGAAATCGATCATGTTGATATGTTGAATGGTGGTGATCGTGTTCGTTTGCGACCCGAGCGGTCGATTCGCGAATTTTCCGAAAAAGAAAGTCACCTACAGCTCGAGGATTTTCATCGAACCCCGTCTGTTTTTCGCGCAGGTCCAGCCCGGAGACACCGTCGCCACAACCAAAGAAGGTATTTAAATTAATTATCAATCGATTCATTAGATTACTAATTTTCGCGTTGCAATTTTTAATCTAGAGGAGTGGATAAGCAAGAAGAAAACCGAAGTGACCAACACCAAGCAGATAGAAACTCGAGTGAAGAGACAGGTGGTGCTCGAGGATGGTAAAGTCGTTGAGGATTCCGGACCCGTGGTCACCACCAATACCACGGAGGACGTGGATACCCAAGAGCATCACCAAACTGAGGTATTATTCCACTTCATTTCATTATCACTCTTCATACCATTCTTTATACCATTCTTTACACCACTCTTTATACAACTTTTCATACCACTATTGATACTAATATTGATGCCACTCTTCATAACCCTCTTCATAGGGTAGAGTGGTAGAATAATTTCACCAAATTTCATACCACTTTTTATACATTTTTACCACTCTTTTTGCCTGTCTTTATACTACAACTTTCCATACCACTATTGATATCTACTACTCTTGATGCCACTCTCCATACCGCTCTTCATAGAGTAGAGTGGTAGAATAATACATCATTTCATATTTCATACCACTCTTCATACATTTCGAACCACTCTTCCTCTACATTTACTCTAATTAGGCATCCACCGTTACTCATACGTGTAATCTTGGTTGCCTATCCTTTGCGCTAATGTTTATTCCTATTATTATTACCACTCCTATTACATTATAATATTGTTTTTATCAAACTGTAACGTTTCATTAGTTGAGGAAATTGGGCGACGACGGCGTCGACGGTGGCGCCTTGGTGGGCGCCCAAAACTACGACGGGGTACTACTGGAAGGTACCAATTCGACGGGATTGGTCGCGAACCCCGATGGCCTCGTCAGAGAGGTCAGCGAGCGCAAGGTCGTGTCCAGAGAGGAAACCGAGGAACTCAAAGAGACGGAGGACGTGCAACATTTGGGCGACATCACCGATGAGGTACGTTCATTCGTTTATTACACATATCGTACGACCCTGGTATATGCGATTCGAAATCTTCTCTTACGCCCCTCGTATGTACGATTTGAAATTTTTTTTTGTCACGCCCCTCGTAATATTTTCATCTAATATAATGTGATTATTGTTAGATTAATTTTAAACGGAATACCTTCCGTACGTACGACGCTGATAAAGGTGATAATCGTGTCGACGATTTAAATACAAATGCTGAGATTCCTGACCTATCATGAATTAAAACGTGATTGCATTTAAAGTGGGTTTTTTTTGCCTATCTTCTTTTCTCATTACGCAATTTATAGTCGGTGTAATGTCGGCTAGAGAGAGAGAAATGGAAATGTATTTTCTCCACGGGCAACTAAGCAAGAACGCGTTCATTCGGAAATTGTGTATAATTTTTATCGGTTATTCTTTATTGAAAATAAGAGTTTGTCAAAGTCAAGTAGTTTTGATTTTGCATACATTTGAGAAAGGAAAACTAAGGCGGCCTTGTATGTCAAAAATGACAGATGAATTGGCATTTTGACGTTTAGATGAATTTGAATTGCCTCCCTAATTAGAAAAGTAGAAATAGAAATGCATTTTCTAAAATTTGTTCTATAAGAAAGCATTCATTCGAAAATCGTACAATATTATTTTTTACTCATTCTTTGTAACAATAAGAGTTTATTGTCTATGCAAAAATCAAATAATTTTAATATACGAGTATGACAGAGAATAACTAAAGGCAGCCTGGCATGTCAAAAATGACAGTATTTTGACGTTTCGATAAATTGCGACATGTTCTCTCAAATTGGCCTCTAACTATGCGTTAAAATAAATCATAAAATCATTCCGAGGCAGTAGAAAAATGCTCACGTGAACAGGAAATCGACCATTTTGCCGCGGCCATATTTCCGCGAGACAGGAAAATTAGAAAATTACCGATAATTGTCCCTCTACTCGGTAGGTAAACGGTTCCCCTGTTTGCTCGTTTAATCTCGCACAAACTCCCACAGCAATTTCGCTAACCATCCCGCACAACAAGCAAAATACAAACATTCTATATACAATTTGTTGTTTTTGTGACTTTCTCAGCGATTCAACACGTTTTCTTGAGCATTCTAGAGCGATTCAAGAGCGATTCTAGATAGTTCTAAATGATTCTGGAGCGTTCTAGAGTGATTCTAGGTAGTTCTAAATGATTCTGGAGCGTTCTAGAGTGATTCTAGATAGTTCTAAATGATTCTGGAGCGTTCTAAATGGTTATAGACACTTCCAAATGATTCTGAAGCGTTCTAAATGGTTATAGACACTTCCAAATGATTCAGGAACGTTTTAAATGGTTCTAGACAGTTCTAAATGATTCTGGAGCTTTTTAAATGGTTCTAGACAGTTCTAAATGATTCTGGAGCGTTTTAAATGGTTCTAGGCAGTTCTAAATGATTCTGGAGCGTTCTAAATGGTTATAGACACTTCCAAATGATTCTGAGGCGTTCTGAATAGTTATAGACACTTCCAAATGATTCTGAAGCGTTCTAAATGGTTATAGACACTTCCAAATGATTCTGGAGCGTTTTAAATGGTTCTAGACAGTTCTAAATGATTCTGGAGCTTTTTAAATGGTTCTAGACAGTTCTAAATGATTCTGGGGCGTTCTAAATGGTTATATACACTTCCAAATGATTCTGGAGCGTTCTAAATGGTGATAGACACTTCCAAATGATTTGTCGATGAATTTTCCAATATTACACCCAGTTAAATCACATTGTTCCCCAACAACTTCACTTGCTTATTTGATACATACCAAACAATCGTATTACATCAACTCGCCCCACCATTCGGCCTTCGTATCTCGAAGAAGAAGCACTTGAAGAAGAAGAAGAAGAAGAAGAGATCCACCGGAGGCGGAGATACGGCGATTTGTGCACAGCGCACGTTTTTTTTTGTTCTTGTTCCGCTGAATCTCGTCTGGTTGAAAAGTTCGAGTTGCGCGGCCGGCGAAGACGAGAAGGGGGACCCGCGCATCGCGACACAAAGGAGAGGAGTCCTCCAGTCCTCCTCCGGTGCGGTGCAGTCGGCCGAAGAACGCCGAAGAACCCGGGGCGATCCGGAAGCGAAGGGGAACCGTTCGGGTACCCGATCGGCTTTAGGTCGAAAATCTAAAAGCAGAGAAACCGGTGAATGGGTGGTGTAAAAAACGAACGTGTGGTGTATTAGATGTTGATGTCGACGCCGATGTGATGGGGTTCGAGGAATATTATATGTAGTACGATTGGTGTGATTGCGCGCAGAAACCGGATTTAATCGTACACGGAGATACACCGATTTTTCATTTTTTTTGTTTTGTTTTTCGCTCGACGAGAGGATGTTGCTCCCGACGGGGTGAAGTTGAAGTCCGTACGGCAGGTATTATAGAAAAAAAATTATATGCTCAATAGTATGACGTGATATGCTGTAGACTGACAATGATATGCTCAATAGTATGATGTGATATACTGATGTTGTTAGAAAATGATTTGCTCAATAGTGTGAAGTGATATACTGATGTTGTTAGAAAATGATTTGCTCAATAGTGTGATGTGATATGCTGTGTAGATATAAAATTATATGCTCAATAGTATGACGTGATATGCTGTAGATTGACAATGATATGCTCAATAGAATGATGTGATATAATAATGTTAGAAAATGATTTGCTTAATAGTGTGATGTGATATATGGATGTTTTAAAAAAATGATATGCTCAATTGTGTGATGTGATATGCTGTGTAGATAGAACATGATATGCTAAAAGTAACATATTTATTATTCTCGAGGGATATAAAAATGTTCAATATTTCGACGATACATCCGAGGGGGGTTTTATAATTTAAATTTATCACACTCCATTGGAGAAGTTTCTAAAGCATCATTCACCTCATTAATTTATTCCCCGAACTTTTCTCACGACTCCTCTAATCGAAACGATCGGTACTACATAATAAAACACCCTGTAAATTCGGCGAATTTCATCACCATAACGACCAACCGGTACTACTACTACTACTAATAATAATAATAATAAAACAAACATTTACATAGGAGCGATCGAAGTCGGTTCACGTACCAAGCAAGTACCAATAGATACATACATACATAATGTTCCTCATTGTTTGTACTGGTTTTCTCGATATTTAACTTAATATAATGATCTACGGGCGTGTGTTTTAAGCGAATTCCGTCGACGCACGACAATATACAGGTACTTCAATTAAACGGGTTGTTGACTTCGGCTTATTATATACACTGCTCGACGAATATTTTTAACCACAAAACGTACGCGTACTTGTAGTAGGTACTTACAAAACGAACCGGTTGCTGTTATACTGTATAATTAATGAGTAAATAGTGTTTTTGTACTTTCTAAAATAAGAAATATTCGCCCGAAGGGTACCACTCGCAAATACCCACTTGACTGGGTCACCTAAATAATCATCGAAGAAAGTACCAAGCATAAACAAACCAATCACCCTGTAAATAATACAGTGTGGCCCAGAACTCACGCCCCACTATTCGCGCCCTTCTATTTCCTTTTCACTTTCAAGGTTAACAAAAGCTGCCGAAATCAGATGTAACTATTGATCAAAGATTTGCTTTAAAATCGATCAAATAATGGATGATTCGATTCGAACCACTTTTAAAGCAATAAAAAATTCTGTAGATTTGATATCAGCACGACGAAGCTTCTGAACGATCGATTTGTAAGCAAATCTTCGATCAATAGTCACAACTGATTTTGACAGCTTTTGTTAACCTTGACAGTGAACAGGACATAGAATCTTTCAATAATGTCAAATCGGTGTCAAAATGGGATTGGTCGACTTTAAACCTCTTTATTTACCAAAAGAATAACCTTTTCATGTTTTCGTCTGCAGTTTTGGCATCTCCATTCTCCTTTCCATACGGCCTTTCTGGGCCACCCTGTATAATAAGCCAACTGGCTCTCGGAGAACGTACTCGTACGTACTTATACGACTCTCAAGGTCTCTATCATCTAATTCGAAAACGATGAAAATAAAATACCCGCCTCGAGTCTTGCGTGCGCTCGGGATCGTCAAGTCATACGTGAAATAACGTACCAAAGAAATAGTTTACCTTGGACGGTAAACAAGTAAAACGCTTAACGTGCAACCAGTACCATACCAGAATCGTTAAACGTACGACCAAATACCTTTTTCAACCGATCCACCGCGTGCACCGACTTTTTAATTCTCGTTGAGTATCCTTCAACCGATCCACCACGTGCGCTGACTTTTTAATTCTCGTTGGGAATCCTTCCAGGACTTCGTGGCGGCCGTGCAGAGCGGCCACCCGGACCTGCGGCGGGCGCTGCGGCCGCGCGACGGCGTCGTCGCCACCGGGCCCCGGCTGCTGGTGGACACCAGGAGGTCGCGGAAGACCGTCGACACCGAGGAGACGAGGCAGTCGAGCCGGGCGCGCGACGACGGCGGCATCGTCACCGAGACGGTGCGCACCGCCGAGCACGAGGTGATCGACGATCGGGAGCTGCCCGACGATGAGCCCGATCGGAACTACTCGAAGGAGAGCTCGCAAAGGTAACGTACACCACAGGTTAGGTACTGAGAATGTAGTGACTGTAATTTGGATCGCTGGACATCAGGGAATAGGAGGCAATGAGGTAGCTGACAATGTAGCCAGAGAGGGGGCCAAGGAGCTACCTGGAAGGCAGATATTTTCGGTGTGAAATCTGGAGGTGTTTAGTCTGGCGATCTGGCTGGTAGTTGTGTATGAGCAATTTCATTCTCCTGTAGCATAACTAACTTAATAGAGCTCCAGTAGGGGTCGGTAGAGGTCCAGGAGGTATCTTTCAGCATCTGTTAATGAATGAGAAATCAAAATTACTAATTCTAATTCTTTAAATAAGGCAACTTTTCTACATCTTCACCAGAAATCTCCAATGCACCTAATATTATCCAATATCCTCCTAACACTCTATCAACTTCCAACTAGACATTCAGGTCAAGTCTGTTTGTATATAGCAAAATGGCTATTGGCTATTTTGTAAAGATATTGTTATGTTAGCAATGTCCTATGAAATAACCTATTCTGTTCGTGTAATTTAAACAATATGATCTGTCATTAGTAAAGATATCTTGTTATAAACCTTGCTATTTGAACAATGTTATTTTTGTACCTGCTATATTTGATAGCAATATGGCTAATCCGATCTTTTTTCATTACTATATGAGCTAAGAGTTTACATTTTTTTGCAAATACGAGATGCAAGTAACCCCTTTAATTTGCTAAATAAAAAAATTATAAAACTTAAATAAGGCTGCAGCTTTAAATTTAATTCAACTGTTGTCAGAAGTTCTAGAAGAACCATTCCGAAGAGATACAACACCTCCTCATCTACAAGTTGCGCTAGTTCAGAAATGTATGATAAAAAAATTACTAATTTTTTTAAACAAGATTCATAACAAAATCCAAACAGAATCGACCTGATTCTAGCCACCTAATGACCAGTTTTCCCTTGAAATATTCCATACTTTCGGACGATTGGGAACTGGAGTTTACAATAATATATATTTGTTTGTAGATACTTGAAAACTAAAGACCAAGAGGAAGTGGATTACGTGGCGAACGGGGTGAACGTGGGACACGAGATGAGATTCAAAACGGAGACCATGGAGGCGGAGAGACGGGGCGATTTCGACGAGCCGGATTTGTTCGAATCGCTTTCGGCGCGGGCCAGGAAAAGGGGAAACAACAGACAACCTTATAGACAAAGAGGTAATTGGATAAAGTTCGTTACGTTTTAAAATGACAATGATGTCATTTTTTTTAGTAATTTCCGCGCAGTTCGAAATGTCCCTAGTTGGCAATTTGCCGTCATTTGTCATTTGCCGAGCAAAGTTGAAATACCGATGCGTTGTTGCCATATCGTTAGTTCCAAAATTCCCCTTTTAGTAGTCGACAGGTTTTGACTAAAATTTATTGTTTTTGTGACTTTCCCAGCGGTTTTTGTCTCTTTCCGGAGAGTTCTAAATGCTTCTAGACAGTTCTAAATAATTTTAGAGCATTCTAAATGCCTTTAGACAGTTCCAAATAATTCTAGAGCGTTCTAAATGGTTTTAGACAGTTTTTAAATGGCTCTGGAACGTTCTAAATTGTTCTGGAACGTTCTGAATAGTTCTTGAACGGTTCTAAATGCTCCTGGATCATTTTAAATGATTCCCAGTGATTTCTGAGTTTGTCCTGTTTTTTAATTAATCTTAAGAGTAGTTTTTGTGTTTTTCCTCCGTTTTAGATAGTTTTTCGTGAGGTTTCTGTACGTTTATCAATTTCTCCCACGTTTTTCTGTGTATTTTTCATGAGTTTTTGGTGTAATTTCTACTATTAACTATCTACTATTGGTGTAAATTCTACTATTAGTGAACTTTTTTAATTTGAACACATCAAAAGTACCTAAACATAGGCTAAAATTAAATATATCTGTCATATAAAGGATTTACATTACAATCCGGCAACATTGCAACACGCCGGCTCGTGACGTCATTGTCATTTTGAAACGTACGAACTTTATATTACTGCTTTAGCGAAATCAGTATTGAGTAGTAGTTTGGGATTAACCGGTAGTTTAGAGCTTAGTGATTTTCTAACACACACACACACTGTTTGAATCCCCTTCGTAGAAATTCCGGTTTTCCGCTACAAAATGGCCGCTTCCTCTATCCTTTACTCTTCAATAGTTAGCGGATGACATTGCGTTAGTGCATCGAAAAGGTGACTGGCTAAAACACATCGCTTTGTACACGTATAGAGGCGATACATAGATGGCTCAAACCGGCGCTCGTATTCCAGGTTTAGAAGACCCCGTCGCCGCCGCCGCGGCCGCCGCCGCCGCCGCCGCCGCCTCGCCTCTCGACCGCAAAGACGCCCTCACGCGCCGCCCCATCGACTTCGACCAGGAGGAGGAGACGCGCAAGGCCGAAACCTCCAAGTGGCTGGAGCACCACTTCGGCAGCGAGTCCACCGTCGAGGAGGCCGACGAAGCGGCGGCGGCGGACGACGAGGACGACGAGGCGGCCGACCGGCCCGCCGCCCGCGCCGCCGGATTTTTTAACGTTACGATCAAATCGCAACCGGCGCCGCAGCCGCCGCCGCCGCCGCAACCGCCGCTCGCTAACGGTTACGCGACCGGAGGCGGCGGCGGTAAGGAGGCGTCGCCGCGCGTTTACAGTCCGGTGGAACCGGAACGGGACCGGAACGGTACTAATTCGGGTGGTTATTACAAAGGTAAGTGTCTCGCGCGCTGCGCGAGCTCGATAGTGTGACCGCGATGTGTACGTTTTAAGTCCCTGGTATATAAAAATTACTCTTGAAAGGCTGCGATGTGGATGCAGAAATAAAGCATTTATATTCTGAGGTATTCCTCAGTTCTCTAGTTGATCCTGGGTCGTTCAAAATAATCCAGAATTTGTTATAAACGAATTTGGACTGTATTCGATGATTCGAAGGTAGTTTTGAACTGTTTCAAATAGCTCTTAATGATTCTGGACGGTTCTAAATGATTTTGAACAATTCTAAATGGGTTTGGACAGTTCTAAATGATTTTGAACAGTTCTCAATGGGTTTGGACAGTTCTGAATGATTCTAAGGTTATTTGGAACTGTTTAAATAATTCTGGACAGTTCCAATTGATTTTGAACAATTCTAAATGGATTTGGACAGTTCTAAATGATTTTGAACAGTTCTCAATGGGTTTGGACAGTTCTGAATGATTCTAAGGTTATTTGGAACTGTTTAAATAATTCTGGACAGTTCCAATTGATTTTGAACAATTATAAATGGATTTGGACAGTTCTAATTGATTTTGAACAATTCCAAATGGATTTGGACAGTTCTTAATGATTGTAAGGTCGTTTTGAACTGTTCCAAATGGTTCTGGACAGTTCTAAATGTTTTTGAACTGTTCTCAATAGGTTCGGACAGTTCTAAGATTGTTCTGAACTATTCTAAATGATCCATCTCTATTATAAAATGGTCCTTAATTATTCTGGATCATTCTAACCAGTTTTGAACAGTTCTTGTTTGTCGTGGAACAGTCCTAAATGATTCTAAAAGTGTCCTAAACAATTTGGAAACACTCACAAGTACATGTACAGTATTATACCATCTTTGTCCCTCTCTTACAACGGCCAGAGATACCCCTCTTCCTTGCACTCGCGTTATATCTACATCCCCATCCGTGTTTACAATTTCCGCCTCCCCAATCAATCACTCACCAAACGAACCGATAACTTCTAGAGCTTTATAATATTATAACAAATTTACGCGTGTAACATAAAACCCATTTAGTAATCCGAAAAATCCCGGCATCTTTTTCAGGTATAACCGATTGGTCGCCGCCGCCGGGAACTCGCCCCTACGCCGGGCACTCGCCGGGCCCTTACGCCGCCCACGACCGGACCCGCCGCTCGCCCAGTCCCGATTACCGCTCCCCGGCGGCCGATTACCGCCACCGCAACCGGTCGCCGGCGCCGGATTACGCGCCCGACTACGCCGGACGGAGGACGGAGGGCGTCGCGACGCCGACGCCGCCGAGGCGCACGAAAAACGAGAGGCCGAGGCAGCGGTTCGTCGACGAACGGTCCAATAGGTACGTTTGAATGGTAAATTGGGCGCCGAAGGGTTCGGAGATTTTGTTGTAAGAGGTAAATTGGGCGCCAGATGGGTAAATTGGGTGTCAAATTGGTAAATTGGGCGCCGAAGGGTTCGGAGGTTTTGTTGTTAGAGGTAAATTGGGCGCCGAATGGGTAAATTGGGTGTCAACTGGGTAAATTGGTTCCCGAAGGGTTCGTAGGTTTTGTTGTAAGAGGTAAATTGGGCGCCAAATGGGTAAATTGGGTGCCAAATGGGAAAATTGGGCGAAGAGAATGAAAGGTTTATTTAAATTGATAGTTAATTTGGGTGCCAAATGGATTGTAGATTTTATTCTAGAGGTAAATTGGACACTCAGAGTCCCCGGAAAATAACCACAAATAATTCTTTAGGAATTATTAATGATTTAAGAATTTTTATTTCATACAGCAAAGTATTTTCGTCCACAGACTCCTCTACTCCTACTCTATTTCTACACCTACTGCTTTACTCTTTTCTACAGTTATCTTAATAATAATCGTTTGACTTAATGCCAGCTAAGTTGAAGACCAGTGGGAGTAAAACCGCGATTACATCTTCTTATTAGATATACGCTAATTGATATAATCCTGCTAACGATGTTAATAAAAAAGTGTTTGTGAAACGAGTTCTATTTTCGCAGACTCGAATCTTCAGAGTACCGTTCGTCGTCGCGACGCGACGACGAGAGAAACGGCGCCGTCGACGTGGCGGAACCGCCGCCGGATTATTCGCCGCCCAGTCCGCCGCCGAACGCGGCGAGAAAGCAAGTGCAAAAGACGCGATTCGCCGTCGAATCGTCGCCCAAACCGCAGAAAACCGGTAACATTATCGGTGAGTACTTTTTGCTTCGTTTTGTAGCCCTTTTTTCTTCATTACAATACAGGGTGTTAATTAATTGAGTGCCGATATTTCAGGATGTGAGTATTTGGGTGATTTTAAGAAGGAAAGTTTGTATCAATATATGTTCTAAATCTCTTAGTTTTCGAGATACAGGGTGTTACAATTTAAAAAAAAAACTATTTTCATCATAATTTTCTAATTACTACGGATATTTTTATGAAATTTTGTACACGATTTTTAATTATTAAGGAGAATTTTTCAGTCAAAAGATTTTTTTTAAATTTTTACCAGTGACGTCCGTGCGGGGTTTAAACTGTTTGAAGAAAGTTGAAGAAGTTTGAAGAAACGCCACTGCTTTAAAATGGTACGCCACTGCCTTTTTCCAAAATTCTCATTTATTTTGAAGCAAATTCGGTCCAAAGACTTATTTCGTACGACGCACCATTTTCGCGTAAAAAAATAAAAACCAAAACAATTTTTTAACCACGTTCATTTTGAGACTGCATTTGATAATTTGTAGAAAATTACCCATCATACATGGAAACATTTTTTTTTAGACAAAAATTAATTTTCTACTATTACCAGTAACTTCCCCGTCCGAAATTCGTTATTCTATTTTCAAAAACTGTAACATCATGTAGCTCAAAAACTAAGAGGTTTAAAATATTCACTTTTTGAAGTATCGGCGGTCAATTAATTAACACCCTGTAGTATTTTTTCCTGATACTCTTGGAAATTCTTATTCATGGATGTTTTACTGTCTTTTTTCTTGTTATTTCTTGCTATATTTCTCGTTATTCTTACTATTTCCTATAATTTTCTGCTATCCCCTGCTATTTCCTGTTATTTTATACTCTTTCCTTAAATTTTTTGCTATTTTCTTGTATTATCTGCTATTTCCTCTCATTCCAAACTATCCCCTACTATTTCCTGTCATTTTCTTATATTTTCTTCTATTTCTTGTCATTTCATACGATCCTCTACTATTTCCTTGTATTTTCTTCTATTTTCTGTCATTTCATACTATCCTTTACTGATTCCTTGTATTTTCTTCTATTTCCTGTCATTTCATACTATCCTCTACTATTTCCTTGTATTCTCTTCTATTTCCTGTCATTTCATACTATATCCTCTACTATTTCCTTGTATTTTCTTCTATTTCCTGTCATTTCATACTATCCTCTACTATTTCCTTGTATTTTCTTCTATTTCCTGCCATTTCCTTGCTCACCCAGTCATTCCACACCATCCTCTACCACTTCATCCTATTTTCACCAATTCCTTAACGCCTTCACCTTCTCGCCACTGTCCTCCAAAACCTCATTCGTTCCTCTCTTCATCGCTTAAGCAAAACGATGGTACCATACACGAGTTTCTCCTTCCATCTACACCCAACACTCCCGCGATCCGAGTACCATCACTCGATCTACTTAGCGACTAGTACACACAACAGACGTGCAGTATAACAGTCGATATCATTTTTCCGGATTCCCGATCGATCGCAGGCCAGTCGATCCGCAAGCTCGTCGGCAAAATTCGATCGGCCAGCGCCGAACGGAAGGCCCGCCAGAGGGCGAAGCGCTCGCCCAGCCCGCCCACCTACCAGCCCGGCCACGTCATCGACGGCAACATCGAGCGTCGCGGCGGCGGCGGCGTCGAGCGTCTCGACGGCGCGATGCACCAGGCGGACCGATCGACGCCCGTCCAACGGTACTACTTGGGCGAGGATCCGTTCGGCGGCAGCATCTTCGGCAGGGAGAACAAGTACGAGGGCGCCCGACGCCAGGCGCCCCGACGCCCGGATGATAGGAGGTAGGAGGGTGGTTGGTTGGGTTTTGTTTTTTTTTGTTTTTTTGTCTTGTTTCGGAGGTTACAGGGTGAACACGGTAGAATTTAGGTGGTCTTTATAGGTACAGGGTGCGTCCGATTGTTGGGAATGCTCGAGTACTTGTAGATGGATTGGTTTGTTGTTTTGTACCGGATCGGTCTGCGGCGATGTGATTAGAGAACTGTTCGAAACCGTTTGGAACCGTCCGGAAATTTTTAGAACCGTTTTAGAATTGACTAGTACTGTTTGAGTTTCGAGTGTTTACTTGCGAGCTTTTTCGAATTGTTCCAGATGGTTTTAGAATCATTTAAAACTGTCCAAAGTCATTTAGAACTATCCAGAATCATTTTAGTACTGATTGGAATCATTTTGAGCAGTTGATGATGATTTTCGAACAATTTAGAACTGTCCAAAATCATTTAAAAAGGTATAAAATCATTAACAACAATTTTAATACTTACTATTATCGTTTGAAACAATTCTGGACGATTTTAGAACCACCAAGAAATATTTTAGAAATGATCGGGATCATTTAAAACAGTTCATGACGATCCTGGAATCATTTAGAACTATCCAGAATTATTTAGAACAATTTTAGAACTGATCGGGATCATTTAAAACAGTTCAGGACGATCCTAGAATCATTTAAAACTGTTCAACATCATTTAAAACTGTCCAGAATCGTTTAGATCTGATTAGGATCATTTGAAACAGTTCAGGATTATCTTAGAACCATTTAAAACTGTCAAAAATTATTCAGAACGATCCAGAATTGTTTAGAACCGTTTTAGAACTGACTAGGACGCTCTTAGAATCATTTGGAACTATAACTGGTGTCATTTGAAATAGTTCAGGACGTTCTTAGAACTTAGAACTGTCCAGAATCATTTAGAACTGCAGATTTAAGGAACAGATTTGTAATGTAAATGTTTCCACATCGCAGCAGGCCGACCCTGTCTACTCTAATAAATATTTTGAAGTTAATTTCTCGCGGGGAGTCCGATTAGAGTTCTAAATTTAAATAATAAATAATAAAAAAATATTTCTACTTCTTTAATTTTAACGAATCTTTTCATATTGTTTAAGGGAAATAAAGAAGTAGCAATTAACAAGGACTCTACGAAAGACCTCTGCTATTTCTATACAGGGTGAAACGTTTTATCATATAAGTTTAATCGATTTAATTCATACGATGATCATCCTGTATACGATAAATGTATTTCGTTTTTGTAAAGATTTTTAATATTAAACTATTTTAATTAACATTTAATTGGTCGAAATAACGGGTTAATCAGATTACACGCTGCAAATATTAATACGTTCTCGTGTCGCGTTCGTTATTAATAACGATTATTAATTAACTTTCTCAAAGATAAATCGCTTTTTTATTGAATGAAATTGATAGTGCAATAATAATTAAAAAAAAATAGAAATCAGTTCGTGCGAATTTTATTTGTTTACAACATTCATCTGCGTAAAACTTGGAGATTTTTAAAGGTTAAATTGAAATTATGGAGAATGAATTTGCATACGCGAAGGTCGCATTGCAATTAAAATGCCAATCGAATGTACAATACATAAATAACGTGACAATCATACAAAAATTTATTCGAATCTCGTTTAGATACTATACGTTTATAGCAGATTCAAGGAATTTAACACATGGTGTTCCAATGAAAAGTATTTCTCAAGTATGTTTTATTTTATTATAGGTTTTGTAATAGTGATACAAAAATTATGCATTACCAATACAGGGTGTTCTATCAAAATCTCTTCTTTTATTTTGGCAGTAATTTTTTTTAAATGGTACACCCCGTATATGTAGAGGTATTTTAAAAGATATACTCTTTTACTTTTTTACAAAAATGTATTATTTGTACTTGTTATTCTATACAAAAGAAGATGTCCTATTTCATAAAATTTAGTTAATGTGAATTTAAAAGAGGGGATTTTTATAAAAACCCCAGTGTAACAAAAAGTTATAGCACAATAAAATATATCTGCGAAACCGCATGTTTTTATTTTTATGATTAGGCGTTTAAAAATTATTAGCTCACTATTGGGGCTACTTTTCATTGGGACACCCTGTATTTATTTATTTACTCTTGATATACAAATATAGAGAACGAAAGCGAATTTATCGAGTATTTAAATATCACAAATTATCGTTATTTTCGGCGAACAAAACGCGAGAAGTAGCACGAGGTTCTTCATTTTTTCTATTAATTAATATTTGCAGAAGTTTCTGCGCTTGTATTAATTTAGTTTATAAAATACTTTTGTGTGTATAACTCACTCGTTCGATTGTAGCAAATTCTGTACTACTTGTTGATTTTAATTTAACAAAAAAATATATTTTAATGTTATTTATTCAAGTATTTTATTCAAGAAAAAAAAAATCACTCAGCAATCCTAATTAGCAATCGATTAAAATCCGACCTTGTCAATAACGAACCGATTGTTTCGCATCTACACCCAAACCGATTACGTATCAATCACCAATCACTTTATTTTTATAGTAAACACCATCCCACTCGCATCGAACAAAATCCAATTTAAACCCGAACCACTGGGCGTACTCACACCATATCAAACCACCGCGTAGGCCTCCGATACGCCCAAAACTAAACAAACAAACACATTCCAGGTCCCAATCCCAAACCAGCACGCTCGGCAGGTTCAGTAAATCCACGTCGCGCCTCTCCAACGGTCACCAACAACACCACCACCACCACCACCACCAGCAACAACAACAACAACAACAACGCAGGAGCTCGCAGACGCTCCCGCGCCACCTCAACACCATCAACGTCAGCATCATCAACACCGTCTCGTCCCCGCGCCAGCCCGACGGCCCCGCCAAGCCGCAGCGCACCTACAAATCCAACCTGTCGCGCAGCAAGAGCCTCAACGTGCCCGGCGGCATGTACGCCAGCCACCCGCAGCTCAGCCAGCCGCCGCTCAAGAGCCCCGGCCTCATATCGAGCCTCAACAGGAGCCGCGACGACGAGCCCTACGCTCACCGTTTCGCCCGCACAAGCGACAACAAGACCGCCTTCCTCTCGTCGCTCAAAGACCGCGCGCCCGAGCTCTTCAAGACGCTCGAAGGGGGCGCGTTCGAGTGCGAGCACGAGCCGCCGACGAGGCTGCGCGACGGCGGGAGGGTCGCGGGAGGGTTGCAGGAGGGTTGCAGGAGAGGCAGCGCCTCGAGCGGCGATTTCTCGGAGGTGTATCGCGCGACGACGCGCGGCGAGGATCCGGCGAATCCCAGCGTGACGGACACGGTGCGGCGGTTCAGCAGGAGGACGGCGCCGTCGCCGACGGGCCGCGGCGTCGAGACGGTGGAGGCGACCGAGACGAAGGTGACGCGGAGCGGCGGGCGGTACGCGGCGCCGATTAGGGCGTACGAGGCGGCGGATCGGTGGTACAACGGCGGCGGATCGAAGCCCGTTATCATCGAGGTTAGGAATTATAAGTAGAAGGCGGCGGTGTAAGTGCAATTTTAGTGATGAGAAAGTGTGTTTAGTTGTAAGCGATACGGCGTTGTGCGAGTGATGGAGATAGATAGAGTGATGTTTTGGAGGTGTTTGTAACAAGGTTTCTTTGTTCAACTCGTAGAGTTGCAAATTTGCACTTGACTGTGTGCAGATAAGTGTAAAATTGTGCGCAATGTGGTGTTGTATGAGTGGAACAAAGAGAATTAAAGACTTTGCCTTAGGTTCATATGAAGGAGAAAGATAAAGTGATGTTTTGGAGATTTTGCAACTGTCTCATTCTACCCACTGTTGTTTTAACAAGCTTTCTTTGTTCAACTTGTAGAGTTGCAAACAAATTTGCACTTGTCTGTGTGCAGATAAGTGCAAAATTGTGCGCAATATGGTGTTGTATGAGTGGAACAAAGAGAATTAAAGAATTTTCTTTAGGTTCATATGAAGGAGAAAGATAAAGTGATGTTTTGGAGATGTTGCAACTTTCTAATTCTACCCACTGTTGTTTTAACAAGCTTTCTTTGTTCAACTCGTAGAGTTGCAAATTTGCACTTGTCTGTGTGCAGATAAGTGTAAAATTGTGCGCAATATGGTGTTGTATGAGTGGAACAAAGAGAATTAAAGACTTTGCCTTAGGTTCATATGAAGGAGAAAGATAAAGTGATGTTTTGGAGATTTTGCAACTGTCTCATTCTACCCACTGTTGTTTTAACAAGCTTTCTTTGTTCAACTCGTAGAGTTGCAAACAAATTTGCACTTGTCTATGTGCAGATAAGTGTAAAATTGTGCGCAATGTGGTGTTGTATGAGTGGAACAAAGAGAATTAAAGATTTTGCCTTAGGTTCATATGAAAGAAAAAGATAAAGTGATGTTTTGGAGATGTTGCAATTTTCTCATTCTACCCACTGTTGTTTTAACAAGCTTTCTTTGTTCAACTCGTTGAACAAAGAACAAGTTGCAAACAAATTTGCACTTGTCTATGTGCAGATAAGTGTAAAATTTGTGTTAAGTGTAGAATTTGAGTTAAGTTCATGTGAAGGAGAAAGAAGGAGTGATGTTTTGGAGGTGTTGCAACTGTCTCATTCTAACCACTGTTGTTTTAATAAACTTTCTTTGTTCAACTCGTTGAATTGACCATATTGCTGGCAAATTTGCACTTGCCCATATAACAAAGTTTTGTTTAGTGATAGATTTGTAATACGTATATTTTTTTTAATTGATTTTATTAATTGATTGGTTTTATTTTAATGTAGGTGAATATTAACGATTGTTGTTAATATACGAATTTAATGTGATTGTAGATGGAGTTGTGTTGTTTGTTTAACATTCTATTTATCCTTTAATATGTCCTTTCTCCGATTAATTGGTGTATTAATTACAGAAAAATTAGTACAAATGCATGTAGTATTGTAGCAATGAAAGAAAATATAAAAATATACACGATAGAAAATAACAAAGGTATTAAATCAAATTTTCTTTAACGTACAAAAGATAAAATTGAAGTTATTTTCAAACGTTACCCTATTTCAAAAGATACTGTTTATTTTATCGTTTTGAATTCTTTAAATAGAATTCCGCATAAAAGGGGTCACACTGTTTGCTCGTCATAAACGTAGTGTAGTTAGAATTCCATTGGGGTCCGATCTACAATAATTTCTTAGTACTATAGAGTACTATAAGAGTACTACAGTTGGTGCAAAAGAATTATCAATGCACGTTAACTATAATTTACTACGTCACAAGCAGGCAATGTTGCCGAGCTTTTATAGAGTTTACAAAATCTAAGAATTTTCTATAATTGTCAAATGCAAGATGACAAGAACAAATTGAAAATTTGGGGCACCTGTTTCACGTTTCTAAACGGCGGACTTATTCAGGGGTTCACTATAAATTAATCATCAAATTCCTTTATCATTTGAAATATATTTAACAGTGCGAATAAAAAAATTAGTGTAAAATTGACTCTTAAAAAAATACATAGTGAAATTTCTTAGAAAACTTCTGAATCTGAATTATTTAGATCTCAAATTGTGTCATTTCTAGCATGTAGAAAAGATAACTACGCAAATATTTATTTTTTCACCAATATAATTTTCAAAAATATAAGCTCACTAAATAATCTTTATAGTCGATAATAAACTACTCCCTTGGTGACATATTATGACTTATATTCTTTCAACTATTTTTTCTATAATGACAATATATTTTTAATTATACAAAACCGTATTTGTGCATCTACAAATTAATATTTTCAGCCAACGTTTACGTAATGACCACAGCAAAATAACGAATTTTTCAAAATGAAGAAAATCCCCACCCGTTTTTGGATAGCAGTAATGGTATTCTTTAGTACCTACATAAATTACACCACGAGAGTAAACATGTCGATGAGCATCGTATCGATGACCAAAGGAAAAACGAAAAAAACCCCCGAGTGTATTATACTAAAGCAAAAGGAGCAAGGCACACACGAAGACAACCCCGAAGACGCCACCCAGAAACCCTTACCTGACGTATATCGACTTTATTAATCAATCCAATTAATAATCATTAAAATTTTTTATAGTACGGAGAAAGGTACGATTGGGACGAGCACGTCCAAGCGCAAATATTGGGCAGCTACTTCTGGGGTTACATAGTAACCTCCCTACCAGGTGGAGCTGCTTCGGAATGGTGGGGCCCCAGAAAAGTGATATTTTGGACGGTACTACTTACCGCTATTTTCAACGTATCTAGCGTATTCGCCGCTTGGTACCACTTCGCGTTGCTCATCGGTTGCAGATTTCTCGTTGGATTGATGGCGGTAGGAATATTAATCATTCCATCTGGAGTCTCCCCGAGTACCGTTGTTTTTGTTTAAGGGTTTCGTGTACCCGGCGCTGCAGGTACTGATAGCCAAATGGGCGCCTCCCGCTGAAAAGGGCAAGTTTATGGCTTGCATGATGGGCAATACTCTGTCTACCTGCATCACTTGGCCTTTGGTGGGCTCCGTTACCACGGCCTTCGGCTGGGATTGGGGCTTCTACTCCATATCCATACAATTGGTGGCGTTTTGCGCGATATTTTGGTTCGTAGCCGCTGATAGTCCCGATGATCACAAGTTTATATCCGAAGCGGAAGTGGCCTTCATCAAGGAAGCCCAAGCGGGGTCGGTCACTAAGAAAAAAGTAAGCATTAGGGGTGTTTAATGGATGATAAGTAGTGTAAAAGTGGTTGCCTATCATTAACAAACTTCGCTTTTGTTTAGTATTTAGAGCACTTCTATTATACTCTATTATATGATAAATTTCTCATTGTTTTGTAGCACAGGGCGCCGTATTTGCAAATGTTCATGAACTTCCCCTTTTGGATACTGACCATTCTGCATACCTGCAATCTATGGGGGTTGTATTTGCAATTGCAGAGCGTACCGAAGTTTATGAACGAAGTGGTGGGTTTTAACATGCGCGATTCGGGATTTTTGGTGGCTCTACCGCACTTTTCCCGCTTGATTTTCGGCATGTTCTACGGCTACATCGGGGACTGGCTGAAGCACAAGCAGTTCTTGTCGCAAAAGGCCGTCAGGAAAACGTTTTGCATTTTTTGTGAGTAATTTCAGCTATCCTAGAAGCACCATATAGCACCCAGATTTCAATTTGTGTACAATAATCATCCTTTTTAGCTCATATAATACCGGGAATATTGATGGCCTCGATCTCTTTGGTCGGTTGCAACTACATAGCCATCGTTGCTCTATTGGTGTTGAGCATCGCAATCAATGGTGCTGTGGTACTGACGACTCTGTCGAATCCCCAGGATTTGGCGCCGAATTTCGCTGGTTCCATTTTCGGTATCATCAGCTTCATCGGGGGAACCACTGGTTTCTTCGTGCCCGTTATTACGGGGGCTTTTATTGCCGAACACGTTAGTATTTTATACTTGATAATTTGACTACAATAGTGTCTGTTGTGTATTGTAATGTGTAGAATAATACGAGGGTAAGGTGAAAAGTTCTCGTCCTGACAATGAAAGACAGTTCTAGACTGTTCTAAATGATTCTGGAGCCTTCTAAATGACCCTGGAGCGTTCTAGATGATGGTTATTTTATATATGGTTATTTTTTTTAGAATGGAACGAAAGAATGGGGTTATACGTTCATTTTGGGAGGAAGCGTGTACATTTTTGGAGGTATTATATTTATTTTGTTCGGATCTGTGGAGGAGCAACCGTGGAACAGGGTCGCCGATCAGGATTGAAACGAGCAATTGGATTCGAAATTTTGAAGAAAAAAAAAATTAAAAAAAAGTGGTATCAAAGGAAAATAAAACATAATCAACGCGTGTATAGGTTAGTTGGTGTACTTGTTTCTCTGTCGATTTATTAAAGATTGTTATAAATAAAATTTTTGTATAGTAAATTTCGTTTTAATTTTAATTCTTCGAATAGAATTCATGTAAGTTCTTCTTGATTAATTGATTATTAAATTTGGTACTTGTACGATATTACATGGCCAACTTGTAAAACCGAGTTATTTAAGAATTAGGCAGAAAAGTAAGTTTTATGTAAAATTTCAATATTTTCAAACCCATTAGGTTTAGATATAGGAAGTAAACATGAACTTCCCTTATGTTTGACCGCTGATTTCATTAAAATAGAAAAAAATGGGTGGTTTCATTTAAAAAAAAAATATTTTTTGTACACACCTGTATAAAATACAAATTTTTTAACACAGATTAAAATACTTCTGACCTTTCTAGTAGCCACCCTACAGAAACCGTTTCCATATCTTTAAGGTGATCCCCGTAAAAAAATTATTAATAAGGGACTGCATTGGTCAAATTTTTCAAAAAATTAATAACTTAAAAAGTATGCATTTTTAAAAAAAAGCGTTTTAGACAAAAGTACCCTAAAATTTTACGTAGATTTCTAAAATATACTGCTCCACAAAAGTTAAGGAAGTTGACAAATATTGAGATTAATTTAAAAGTTGCAGGTTTTTTGATCGCCAAATTTAGTATATTTGAAAATTTGGTGATCAAAAAGTCTATAAATTTTAAAATAATCGCAAAATTTGCGAACTTCCTTAACTTTTGTGGCGGAGTTTATATTAATATACAGCTTAATCTAAGCTCGCAAATAATCTAAATACCTAAAATTGACAAGCAATTATGACATATTTTTAACTAATTGTCTATAACGATAACACATTTTTATTTGTACCAAATCAATTAATTATTTTCAAAATGAAAAAAATTCCAGTCCGTTTTTGGATAGCAGTCATGGTGTTCCTGACCACTTACATAAATTACACCACGAGAGTGAACATGTCGCTGAGCATCGTATCGATGACCAAAGGAAAATCGAAGAAAACACCCGAATGCACTTTACTGAAGCAGAAAAATGACGGCCTACTGCCCGAGGAAAACCCCGAAGACGTCACCCGCCCACCCTTACCAGACGTACCCTGACACTACAAATTAATTTACCTAATAAATCATTTGAATCTCTTGCAGTACGGGGAACGGTACGATTGGGACGAGCACGTCCAAGCCCAAATATTGGGCAGCTACTTCTGGGGCTACGTGATCACTTCCATGCCCGGTGGAGCGGCTTCTGAATGGTGGGGGCCCAAATTAGTGTTATTCTGGGCAGTACTTCTATCGGCCATTTTCAATTGCCTGTGCGTATTCGCCGCTTGGTACCATTTCGCGTTGCTGATTGTCTGCAGATTCATCATAGGATTGCTTGCGGTAAGAATATTGATTTGTTCCAGCAGCATGCTCAAATTATGTTTGTATCAGTATAGTATTGCACATGCTATAATGTATAAAAATTCGTAATAAGATTCTTGCTGGAACACCTCGAGCAGTTGTTGGGTATCCTGTAATACACAGAAATGTTCTTTGAACAACCTATACAGTTTCCTAAAAAAATAACTGCTCTTTTTTTAAGGGTTTGGTGTACCCGGCATTGCAAGTCCTGATAGCCAAATGGGCGCCTCCTGCGGAGAAGGGCAAATTCCTGGCTTGTATGATGGGCAACACTCTATCTACTTGTCTCACTTGGCCCTTGGTCGGGTATATTACCTCGGTAATGGGATGGGATTGGGGCTTTTATGCAACATCATTACAATGCGCGGTGTACTGCGTGATATTTTGGTTTGTAGCCTCTGATAGTCCCGACGATCACAAGTTTATATCCGAAGCGGAAGTGGCCTTCATCAAGGATGCCCAAGCGGGGTCGGTCACCAAGAAAAAAGTAAGCACTAGGGGTGTATAATGGATTCTAAGTGCTGTAAAATGGGTTGCCTATCCTCCAACAAACTCCTCTCTTCACATCTAATCTCGTGGTCTTCTCCATATTGTTTTACAGCACCGCGCGCCCTACGCGCAAATCCTCAAGAACGGCCCCTTTTGGGTGCTGCTCCTGTTGCATTCGTGCAACTTGTGGGGTTTGTACGTGCAATTGCAGAGCGTGCCGAAGTTTATGAACGAAGTGGTGGGTTTCAACATGCGCGATTCGGGATTTTTGGTGGCCCTGCCGCATTTGTCGCGCTTGGTGTTCAGCTTTCTGTACGGCTACATCGGAGATTGGCTGAATAACAAGAAGGTGTTGTCGCGAAAGGCCGTCAGGAAAACGTTTTGCGTTTTTTGTGAGTAATTTCAGCTATCCCGGAAGCACCATATAGCACCCGGAAGAGATCGATTTGTGTGCAATAATCAACCTTTTTTTTAGCTCATATAATACCGGGTATATTGATGGCCTCGATCTGTTTGGTCGGTTGCAACTACATAGCCATCGTCGCTCTATTGGTGTTTAGCATCGCAATCAATGGTGCTGTGGTACTGACGACTCTATCGAATCCCCACGATTTGGCGCCGAATTTCGTCGGCTCCATTTTCGGCATCAACAACTTAATCGGGGGAATGTCCGGTTTCATTGTGCCCGCCATTACCGCTGTTTTAGTAGCCGAACACGTTAGTATTTTATATTTGATAATGTAACTACAAACTACAAGTTCATGTTGTGAGCATTCTAAATGACCCTGGAGCGTTCTAAATGGTTCTGAAGCGTTCTAGATGAATCTGGAGCGTTTTAAATGACCCTGGAGCATTCTAAATGGTTCTAGAGAGTTTTAAATGATTCTTTGTTCTAAATGATTCTGGAGCATTCAAAATGACTATATGAAGCATTCTAAATGGTTATAGACAGTTTCAAATACTTCTGAAGCTCCAAATGATTCTGTTATAGCATTCTTACTGACGCTGATGGAGCGTTCTAAATGGTTCTAGACAGTTCTAAACGATTCTGAAGGGTTTTAAATGATTTTGTTTTAGAATGGAACGAAAGAATGGGGTTATACGTTCATTTTGGGAGGAAGCGTGTACATTTTTGGAGGTATTATGTTCATTTTGTTCGGATCTGTGGAGGAGCAATCTTGGAACAGGATCGCTGATCAGGAGTGAAACTCGCAATTGGATTTAAAAGTTTAAAAAGAAATATATATACAAAATGAAAGAGTGGTATTAACCGATGGTTTTAAAAATAAGCCGTAAAAAGAACATAATTAAAGGTATACAGTGTTAGAAAATTTTTCGCGCATAATAGGGAAATCAATGTTAAATTCTTAGCCGGCTAAAATCCAGTCTACCAGTATATATTTCAATAGAACGTCGCGATGAATTCTAATAAATTTAATTGTTTTACTGGATCGCACGCCGCGATTTGTAGAGGCACAAAGTTATTTGTGTTAGGTATGAGGTACAAAATTATTTAGAAACTACAATTAATTGGTTTTTTGGGGATATTTAAAAAAAATGTGTGTATCGGTAGGTACAGTTTTGAAATAGCAACAAATCTTGTTAAAATAAGGAAAAATAAGGAAAAAATAATTCAATTTTCTTAAAATTACACCTCAGCTCAGTAATATGAGATGACATCTGTATGACAGGTTTGGCTATTGTTTAGCAGAAAGCGGTGGACTATTTTTTAGAGTTCTTTTATTTTCTATTTTAAAATAATCTTTAAGTTTATTTTTGGAGTATTCTTTTTATTATTTTCTTAGAATTTACTTTCTTTTTCAAGCCATTGTGGCAAAAATACATATCTACATAATTCTATTTTATTATTAGTGATATTTTTTCAATAAATTATCGTTTAAAAATTCTCAATTCATTGTAATCGACTCGACGTTCACCCATCCAAACCCGTTTTGATACTGTCGAAGTGTTGAAACCGTCGAAATTATTTGATTTTTAATCTAACTAAGCCAAAGCGCGGTGTGAAGTCCAGTAGAACAATTAAATTTATTAGAATTGATCGCGACGTTCTATTGAAATGTACACTGGTAGATTGGATTTCAGCCGGCTAAGAATTTAACATTGATTTCCCTATTATGCGCGAAAATTTTTCCAACACGATATAGGTTAGTGTGTGTATTTAGAGTAAATGTTTTTTTTTATTAATTCATTCAAAAATTATGTATTAAATTTCTTGTGTGGAAAATTTCGTTTTAATTTGATTTTCTCTCAATGAGTCCTAAGTTTTTAAAATTCTATTCTGACAATTACAATATACAGGTTGATTAATTTTAGTTTGCATTATAGGTATTATAGGCTGTGGGTGCGATAAAGACAACTTCAATTAGACATTTATAAAGGAAAAAGAAAGAGCGATATTTCGGGCTGATTGCAACATTTCATTCTAACAACTGTCATGTCCATGGATTGAACAAAGAAAGATTACTAAAATGACAGTTGTCAAAGTGAAAAATTGCTATGACACAATATCTCTCTTTCTTTTTCCTTTATAAGTATCTAATGAAAGTCGTCTTTATCGCACCCATAGCCTATATAACCAATTGCAATCAAAAATGCAATTATTATGACGTTTAATCAAAAAAAACGTCTATAACATGTCACCATATTATTATTTTTAATCACATAAAAGAGTGTACATTTTTCTGTATACATATTTTTTTAGGTAACTTTTAGTTTATGAAAATATGAAGATAACGAAATGAAGAAAATTCCAGTCCGTTTTTGGATAGGAGTCATGGTGTTCCTCTCCACTTATATCTTATACACCACCAGAGTAAACATGTCGATGAGCATCGTATCGATGACCAAAGGAAAAACCAAAAAAACCCCCGAGTGTATTATACTAAAGCAAAAGGAGCAGGGCACACACGAAGACAACCCCGAAGACGCCACCCAGAAACCCTTACCTGACGTATATCGACTTTATTAATCAATCCAATTAATAATCATTTAAATTGTTTATAGTACGGAGAAAGGTACGATTGGGACGAGCATGTCCAAGCGCAAATATTGGGCTGCTACTTCTGGGGTTACATCATAACGTCCCTACCAGGTGGAGCTGCTTCAGAATGGTGGGGACCCCATAAGGTTATATTTTGGTGCACCGTCCTGGCCGGTATCTTCAACACGTTGAGCATATACGCAGCTTGGTACCATTGGGGATTGCTGATAGGTTGCAGATTTCTCATTGGATTGTTTGCGGTAAGAGATTGAAGCGTCCCAAAGCGAGTGCTTTAGCGAGGACCATCTGGAGTGTCCCCGAGTACCATTGGTTCTGTTTAAGGGTTTCGTGTACCCGGCAGTGCAAGTGCTGATAGCGAAATGGGCGCCTCCCGCCGAAAAGGGCAAGTTTGTGGCCTGCTTGATGGGCAATACTCTATCTACTTGTCTCACTTGGCCCTTGGTCGGGTATATTACATCGGTATTCGGATGGGATTGGGGCTTTTATGTAACGTCATTACAATGCGCGGTGTTCTGCTTGGTATTTTGGTTTGTAGCCGCTGATAGTCCTGATGATCACAAGTTTATATCCGAAGAGGAAGTGGCCTTCATCAAGGAAGCCCAAGCGGGGTCGGTCACCAAGAAAAAAGTAAGTACTAGGGGTGTTTAATGGATGATAAGTGGTGTAAAAGTGGTTGCCTATCATTAAGAAACTTCGCTTTTGTTTAGTATTTAGAGCACTTCTATTCTACTCTATTATATGATAAATTTCTCATTGTTTGTAGCACAGGGCGCCGTATTTGAAAATGTTCATGAACTTCCCCTTTTGGATACTGACCATTCTGCATATGGCCAATCTATGGGGGTTGTATTTGCAATTGCAGAGCGTACCGAAGTTTATGAACGAAGTGGTGGGTTTCAACATGCGCGATTCGGGATTTTTGGTGGCCCTGCCGCATTTTTCCCGCTTGGTTTTCGGCCTGTTTTACGGCTACATCGGAGACTGGCTGAATCGCAAGCAGGTCTTGTCGCAAAAGGCCATCAGGAAATCGATGGTAATTTTTTGTAAGTGACGAATTTTTGGCAGCTATAAGACTCTTTTAACCACCTAAATAATTAGTAGAGTACAAATAGGATGACCAACCATTACTCTAACAAATTTTTCCAGCTCACATTCTACCTGGAGTATTGATGGCCTCGATCTCTTTGGTCGGTTGCAACCACGTAGCCATCGTTTCTCTGTTAGTAATGAGTATCGCCGTCAATGGCGCTGTGGTGTTGACAAATTTGGCAAATCCACAGGATTTGGCGCCGAATTTCGCTGGTTCCATTTTCGGTATCATCAGCTTCATCGGGGGAACCACCGGTTTCTTCGTTCCCGCCATTACGGGGGCTTTTATAGCCGAACACGTTAGTGTTTATGCTATGAAATTTGAGTAAGGAATGTATTGTTTGGTTACTTTTTTTAGAATGGTACGACAGAATGGGGTTATACGTTCATTTTGGGGGGAGCTGTTTATATTTTTGGAGGTGTTGTATTCATTTTGTTTGGTTCCGTGGAGGAGCAATCGTGGAACAGGATCGCTGATCAGTAGTGAAACGAGCAATTGGATTCGAAATTTTGCGAAAAAAATTAAATAGAAAGTGATGTATTTTAAAGGAAATTTAAAAAACAATTAAACCGTAAAATGCGGACGTAATTAACGGTGTAGGTTAGGTATGTGTACGTTATATCAAAATGTATATTAAATTTCTTGTAAATTTCGTTTTAATTTATTCGAAATGGTCGAGAGAAAAAAAATAATGATGCATTTCAACACTAAAAATTCTTAAATTTTGCATTTTTACAACAAACATCCGAAGTTGCCACTATTCTGTATACAAAGTGTTTCATAAGGAATGGTCAATATTTTATTCGTAAGATCAGGACCTCCGAATTTTAATATTTTTATAACTCTTGGTCAAATACTACTAAGATACAGGATGTTCAAGTTAAAATATCCAGTTTAGAGCCATTTAGAACGCTCCGGAATCATTTAGAAATGTTTCGAACTAAAAATAATGATTTTAAGAAGAAAAGTTTATATCAATATATGTCCTAAAACTCTTAGTTTTCGAGTTACAGGGTGAATACAGTTTAAAAAAATAACTTTTCTATCATAATTTTCTTATTACTCCAGATATTTTTGTACAATTTTGGACGTGGATGTCACTGGTAATAGTAGAAAATTAATTTTTGACCCCAAATAAAGTGTTTCCATGCATGATGGCCGCCTGCCAAATTTCAACAAAATATCAAAAGCAGCCTCAAAATGAATTCGGGAAAAAATTGTTTTGGTTTTAATTTTTTTACGCGAAAATGGTGCGTTGTACGAAAGTAAGTCATCGTACCGAATTTGCTCCAAAATAAACGAGGATATTAAAAATAATTTTGGTTTTCAGAAAAAGCAGTGGCGTACAATTTTTTCTTCAAACATATTCATTTCAAACCCCGTACGGACGTCACTGGTAAAAAATTTAAAAAATATTTCGCCTCAAAAAATGCTCCTTAATAATTAAAAAGTGTGTACAAAATTTCATAAAAATATCCGGAGTAATAAGAAAATTATGATATAAAACTTATTATTTTTCTAAAACTTTACCACCCTGTAGCTCGAAAACTAAGAGGTTTAGGACATACATTGATATAAACTTTTCTTCTTAAAACCATCCAAATAATCACATCCTGAAGTATCGACACTCGATTAATCAACACCCCGTATACAACTCGCAAGAATTATTTCCACATTTCCCCATCTCCTCGACTCCCCCAATCGTTACCTACGCCACTGCACCCGTGCACATCCTGTGTGCGTTGCGTCGCGTTGATATCGTAAAAACCGGCGCTTCACACTCTACATTCTACACTCTACTCTACACTACTCTACACTCAATTCATTTCATTCCATCATTCACTAAAAATCCACGGCGTGCTTCGATAGTGCGTGTGTTTGTGCGTGCATGTAGACTCGAATTCTCGATTCTCGAGCGATTTCTGTGTGTTTTTTAGTCTCAAATGAATCGGACGTCGTGCGAAGTGTTTCAGTGTATCGGTTGAAATCGTGATTGGGGTGGAAAAGACGATAATTTCTATAGAAAAATGACGACCAACGGGCCGGAGGCCTTCGAACAGGAGGACTTGTTGAAGAAGGGCCGGGCCGTGGAAATAACGGGATCGAACCGAGGGATAGGTGGAAGTAAGTTTATATTTATTTGTTTTTTTAACAATACTGGGAATGGTATTTTATTAACTTTATGGTGTTGTTTAATTAACGTGTAATTAATTGAAATCGACCTAATTAGTGTGTTATTTTAAGTTAATTGCACGTTCCTCTTCTATTCTTGTAGCAGAAGCATTATTAGATATGCAACAAAAACATTTACAGCTTAAAGAAAGTTCCTACGAACCGGCATGTAATGTGTAGAACTGTTTATTTCATTTAGAACTAATCAAAACCATTTCGAACCATTTTATAACTGACTAGGACAATTTCAAATAGTTTAGGACCATCCTAGAATCATTTTGAACTGTTCAAAATCATTTAGAATTAGTTTATAACTGACTAGGACAATTTAAAACACTTTAGGACAATCTTAGAATCATTTTGAACTGTTTAACATCATTTAAAACTGCCCAGAATCATTTATAATCATTTTAAAATTAACTAGGACAATTTCAAATAGTTTAGAACCATCCTAAATTCGTTTTGAACTGTTCAAAACTCTTTAAAACCATCCAGAATTATTTAGAACCATTTTATAACTGACTATGAAAATTTCAAACAATTGAGGACAATCTTAGAAACATTTTAAACTGTTTAAAACAATTTAGAACTGCCCAGAATCATTAGAACAATTTTAGAATTGACTCAAACAGTTCGGGACGATCCTAGAATTGTCCAAAATCATTCAGAATCGATTCAGTGCAATATTTGAAACGGTCCAGGATAAACTAGAATAAGTCTAGAAACTAGATTTTTTTTCCGTATCAGTTTAGAATTTTTTTATCTAGAAAACAAACCGACGCGGTATATTTCTAATCAATTTTACAACGTCTATAAATAACAAACCATTTACCAACTCCAGAAAACAAATATATAATATAATTACGAAATTCCGCTAATTTATCGTGAAAACTGAACTTTTGACTTAAAAGTATGTAAATAATTATAAAACATAATCGAAAACTATATACATATATTATATACGCATTAATTACATAACACATAACGCAAGTTTATACTACATACGATTTTTTTAAATTATGCTTTAAAAATAAATATTATTGTGATAATACATAAATATTTCCTGTGTGTGTGTACGTGTGTAAGTTTTGTAGACTTTATTATTGTACTCTATAGATAGTATAGATATCAATGAACTTGCTGAAAGTGGGTTTAAATTTAGAACCAATGAAAAGGACCATTAAAATAATTGTCGCTTTATTACCTTCAATTAAACTGTTTATTTCGAATATTCAAATGTAGAATTTTTAAGTGTAGTGTAGATTTAAAGTAGAGCCTATTTAGAGTAGAGTAGAATCGTTTGGAACCGTTTTAGAACTTACTAACTTGAAACAATTCGGGACGATCTTGGAACCATTTAGAAATGTCCAGAAGCGTTTGAAACCATTTGGAATTGTTCAGAATCATTTGGAACCTTTTTAAAACTGACTAAAGCCGTTAGAAACAGTTCAGGTGAATTCAGAGTAGAGTAGATTCAGCGTAGAGTAGACTTGAGTAGAATAGGGTGGGGATAAATCAGGGTACAGTTCACATCTGTCCCTGATTTATATTTTTTGCTTATCGTATTTTGTTTATATAAGCACATTTGCGGTTAATTCTGAGCAAATAATGCAGCGAATATTTAATCTTTACGCAATCATTAAATATATTCCAAGGTAAAAATGCCATTATATTTGTTAATAAAAAACAAACACAAACGGCGTGATGTCGGGTCGTATATTAGGTGATATAAATTTTTTTTCGGTGAAACATTAACAATCCCCGCTAAATCAAAACGTTTCTATTTTCGAATCGAAAATTTCGAATTCAAGGTGAGAGAGTTTTAGAATTGTTAATAGGTCAAAAAGGTTTTTACATTTATCTCGTGTAATTGAGATATTTTCGCTGTATAAACTGTATAAACTATAAAGAATCACATACAGCAGCGTAGGTGTATCAGAAAATAGCATTTTCGTTGCGTATTTAATGTATTGCAGAAGTTTGATTTTATTTAAAACTCGCGATGACCTTTCCCATTTACGTTTAGTAATCAAATTTAAAAATTACGCAAAAATTTGCTATTTGTATTTTTTTACAAAATAACAGTAGATAAAGTTGCGAACGCGTATGAGATAACTGTTAATTTGAGTAGTTTACGACTCGAAGTGCAAACAAAATAGCTAGAAAAGTTTACAATAAAATTATACGAGAGCAAGGTGAAAAGTTCACGGCATAAATAATATAATTTTTTAACTGTAAAAATCACAGTAGGTGAACTTTTGGCCTTACCCTCGTACGTAGTGCATTGCAATAATTCACCCAAAAATAACCATACCTTTTCCAACCACTTACCACACTCGGGATGAACATTCGGGGCCGCTTTGACGAGGAATTTCGACATAAAGTCGCGTTAAATTGGTTGCCTATCCTCCCTGGCGCGTTCGTAGGGGATCTGTTCAATTAGAACCGTTTTATAACAGCATTTATTTAAAAAATGAACCTGAAATATTCGCATACTAACAACTATACTCACCCCACCATTCGGTTTTTTCTGAAACAAGCTCGACCAAACGCTAAACCGCCGCGATCAATCCGAAACTAGCAGAACTAGCAGTAGTGCAGCCTTGACTTTCATGTTTCATGCGAAAACTGAAAAGAAAATATTCGAAAAACTTATTAGTCGGTTTTCCGCCATTTCATCGCGAATTTAATCAATCGTTCCCGTTCATTTTTGCGACGATTTTAATTCATGGTTTCCTTGGGTAAGTCCTTTTATGTAACTAATAAGTATTGATACTTTTAAAAAACCTGTTTAACTTCCTTATTTTTATTTACTCGATGTATTGTATTAGCATATTACTGTAATCTAATACTAATTTAATAATTAATTTTTTACTCGTAGCAAAAATGTTTAACTCACACATCAATCCGTCGATGTATTTTACAATGCGAAGTCATTACGATTATATTATTATTATTTTATTATTATGATTACTTGTTAATCGAGTTTAATCAAGCAGTAAACATTTCGACTGCGCCCCGTAGTTTGATATTACAAAATTCTCGAAATGTCCAATATCAAACGCATTCGCATAAAATGCAAGAATTCGCATACAAACAAACATACAGCATTTTTACCGGGATACGTCACAGAAAGATTGGCATCTAATAATTAATAATTGGCATAATTATTGTTATTTTGCGAATTAATCGCTAGATTGTAACCAAAACAACGTTTATTTAATCGACGTCTAGCGTGCTATGGAATAGCACGAGATAGGTGTAATTCAAAGAACAATAGAAGAAAAAAGAGCGCAATATTTCGTGTTATTTCTTATCGACACATGATTTGTTTATTATTCGATCGATTGTACAATACACTTTTATTCGATAATTATCTACACAGCGATGGAGACATAGGAAATAACACGAGTGCGAGAAAGATAATCATCTGTAATAACCATTGTAATAGGGGGAGAGAGGTATTCACGAATGTTTTTAAATTGTTCAGGACTATTTTGGAGTCATTTAGAACGGGCTAGATTCATTTTAGAAGAGGCTTGGATCATTTCAAACAGTTCATGACGATCTTAGGATCGTTTGGAACCGTTTTAGAACTGAATAGGACCATTTGAAACAATTCAGAACGATCTTAGAACCATTTAGAACTGTAAAGAATCATTTGGGACCAGTGTAGAACGACTAGAACCACTAGAAACGATCCTAAAACGATTTTGAACTCTCCAAGATCCTTTACAACTATTATAGAGCTGGCTAGGATCGTACGAAACAGTTCAGAGTGATCCTAGAACTATCCAGAATGAATTGAAACCATTTTAGAATTGACTAGGACCATTCGAAACATTTTAGAATGATCTTAGAGCCATTTGGTACTGTCCAGAATATTTTAGAACTGGCTTAGAACCATTCGAAACAGTTGCGGAACTGTCCAATATCGGCTAAAATAGAATCAGAAGTATTTGGAACGGTCCAGAACACGTTTAGAACAATTCGCTAAAATCTTGCAATCTAAACCATTCTCTAAATTCAAAAGCATTTTCCCCTTATCCACATCAAAGTAGGCCGACCCATCTAATCACTAATCAATTATATCTGCGTAGGAAAATGGAAGATCCCTACCCGATTCTGGATAGGCGTGATGGTGTTCCTATCGACCTACATAAATTACACCACGAGAGTGAACATGTCGATGAGCATCGTATCGATGACCAAAGGAAAATCGAAGAGCACCCCGGAATGCATTTTGCTGAGGCAACAAGCGGAAGAGGCCGCCAAATTCGCTCTGAACTCTTCCTACGTCATGAATACGAACGTAACTCAAAAGAAAACATTTGGTGACGTAAGTACTAACTTGATTTTTTTTTTCACTCGAATAGAGCAGAGTAAGATATTGTGACAGATAGAGATATTAATAGGTTGGATAGAGGAGAAGCATATGAGAATGAGATATTGGGTTTTTTATTAGCATATTTATAATTTGCTCACCTATAAAAATCCTTTAATTTGAAACAAATGACAGGTGACAGGTAGTGATGAGGTTAAAATTTGAAATTTTGTTAATATTTTTCTAATCAAGTAGGTGTTAAGATTATTAACGAAATGTCAAAACCTGTCACCAGTGTCATTTGTTAAAAATAAACAGATTTTTTATAAGTGATAAGTGAACAAACTACTTATACAAACGATAGTTGTGTATTGATATACTATATACAGAATGTCCCACGAATATATCTAATTTATTTTCCGGCAGTTCGGAGAACGTTACGATTGGGACGAGCACGTACAAGGCCAAATATTGGGCAGCTACTTCTGGGGCTACGTGATAACATCCCTGCCCGGCGGAGCGGCCTCGGAATGGTGGGGCCCCCACAAAGTCATATTCTCGATGACCTTACTGTCCGGTTTAGTAAACGCTTTGAGCGTACCGGCCGCTTGGTACCACTTCGGGCTGTTGATAACCTGCAGGTTCCTGCTCGGCATATTCGGCGTAAGTACCCCAAATTATACTCAAAAAAACAGTTAATATACGATGGTATGATGCTTGCAGGGTTTCGTGTACCCAGCAGTACAAGTCCTGATAGCCAAATGGGCGCCTCCTGCGGAAAAGGGCAAATTCGTAGCCGGCTTGATGGGCAACACTTTAGCCACCTGCGTCACGTGGCCTTTGATCGGAGGCGTGACGTCATCGTACGGATGGGCCTGGGGCTTTTACTCGATAAGCATACAGTGCATCGTCTTCTGCTTGATCTTCTGGTTCGTCGCCGCCGACAGTCCGGACGATCACAAATTCATCTCACCGGAGGAGGTGGCTTACATCAAAGAAGCCCAAGGGAGCTCCGTTACCAAGAAAAAGGTAGCATCTCTTCTTCGTAAAAAGGAGCATAAAGGTTGCCTAATTTATATTTCGTAATTGTAGCACCGCGCCCCCTACGTGGCGATATTCAAAAGCGTGCCGTTTTGGATGCTGGCCATTCTGCATTTCGGTAACCTGTGGGGCCTCTACTTGCAGCTGCAGAGCGTGCCCAAGTTCATGGCCGAAGTGGTGGGTTTCAATTTGAAGCAGGCCGGTTTCCTCTCGGCCCTGCCCCATTTGACCCGGCTGTTCTTCGGCACCGCCTACGGCTCGGTCGGCGATTACCTCAAATCCAGGAAGATCCTATCCCAGAAGGCCATCAGGAAGATTTTCGTATTGTTTTGTAAGTAGTTTTGTGTAGTTTTGTAAGTAGAAACGTTGTAATGTTAGTTGCCTAATTGTAGTTGTAATCTAATAGTAGGTAAATGTAATGGTTGTTGCCTAACTATTGCTGTAATGTAGCTATTTTAGCTTTAATAGTAGGTACATGTAATGTGAGTTGCCTACTTTAAGTGTACTGTAGCTAATTTAGCTACAATAGCAGGGATATGTAATGTTTGATGCCTAACTTTTGATGTAATGTAGCTATTTTAGCTTTAATAATAGGTACATGTAAAGTGTGTTGCCTAATTTTAGGAGTAATGCATTATTTTCCTTGTGTTTTTAGCTCATATAATTCCGGGTATTCTACTGATTGGAATAGCTCTGACGAGTTGCGATTGGGTGCCGATAGTCGTGATGCTGACGTTCAGCATGGCTATAAACGGAGCCGCAGTGTTGACGAATTTGCAGAACCCGCAGGATTTGGCGCCGAATTTCGCGGGATCGATTTTCGGGATTATCAGTTTTATCGGGGGAATGACGGGTTTCATCGTGCCCGCCATTACGGGGGCTTTTATCGCGGAACACGTAAGTAGGACGGAGTTGAAGATGGTTGAGAATTGATTTGTTGGGGGTTTCAGAACGGGACGAAAGAATGGGGTTATAACTTCATACTGGGAGGATCCGTGTATATCGTTTGCGGTGCTGTTTTCATCCTATTCGGGTCCGTGGAGGAGCAGAAGTGGAATAGGATAGCCGATGAGGAGAACGAGGAGGCGCCGGCGAAAAACGAATAAATACTTAAGATATATCATGTAATTTTTTATATATTGTATGTGAACTTTACCCGCTTATTTGTGGAATGTAATAGTCTGAGAATTAAACGAATCAAATACAAGGTATTCGTGTTAAATTGGTCACCTACCTCACCATTAAGGACCTTTATCTACTTGTACATCCAGCTATTTACAATTTTTGGCTGCTGAGGTGGACAATCGACAATTCAATTGCATTTTTCACTTTATTACAATATTTTGCACAGAAAATAAACACTAACAAATAAAAAACAGAGAGAATCTCGACCTTGACAAGAATGACAAGTGAAGTGATTCAGCCACCACAACAAATTTTTACATCATTAAAAAAAGAAGAATTTAGACATTTTGACACAAATCATAACAGTCAAAATATAACCCCACTTTTAGTTGTCAGGTGACGATGTTGATGTGTATTTATTTATAGCAATAATTTAAAAATTTGAAGGATGGTGGACCTAAAGAAAGACTTGGACGAGTATTTGCTGTTGCAAAGCGACCAAAAGAAGTCCTTCAAATTGCAAATGCCCGCAATACAAACGCCCAGCGTGTCGGGATGGTTCCGCAAAGAGCAGCCCCAGCAGGAAGACAGTTGGTATCAGGAGACGAAAAAAGAGTGCTGTCCGAGTTTGGCAAGAGTTTAACAAGATTTTGGACGAGTGTAAATGTTTATTAATTGTATTTTTATTATTTTAGACACGTCTACAAAGAATGGTGTTATTTGCCGTTTGCATAGGATTGGGTATGCTGTGTTTCTCCATATCTCTTATGTACATTCCATTACTTCTATTCAAAGCTCGGAAGTTTGCTTTGTTATTCACTCTCGGTAGTACGTTTTTTATTTTGAGGTAAATCACTTGAAATTTATTCAAATCGTATCATATTTAATAATTCCGTATTTTATGATCTTTTAGTTTCTTCTTCTTGTGGGGCCCAATGGCATTCTTAAAGCACATGTTCGCAAAAGAAAGGCTTCTTATAACGACAGTGTACGGGGGTACATTGATAGCTACCCTCTACAGCGCTTTGCATTTACAAAGCACCCCGTTCACCGTATTGTTTGCGGTTTGTCAAATAATATCCCTTCTGTGGACTGTGTTGGTAAATATTCCCGGCGGGACAACCGGTATATCGTTTATGACGAAAATGTTTAGTCGATCGTCTGGAAATACTTTGCCTATATGATTCGATATTTTTTTTATATTTATTGCGATAAATTATATATTTTGTTTTGTAACTGGGTTTTTATTGTTTATAACGATTGTCTGGAAACATAGGTCGAAAAAGTGTTCTGTTATTTGAAGATAAAACAGGGTTCCTAAAACGGAGGCGATGAATTAGCATTAAGAAAGATTTTATTCAAACTAAAAATAGATGCAAAATATACTTAAATCTGCGATGATCTCCATTTTCTCTTCGAAATGTCAAAATTAGTCAAAAAATAATTTTTGACGTTTGACAGCTTGAACTGTCGTCTCACTACCGCGATTTATATGTAGCGCGACGCTGATTGGCTGAAATAAGTCGATCCTCCGATCGTTCGACAATTTTTCTTTCGAATTGAATTTTTAGGTGGCTGTCTAAAACATCAATCGTGTACTAGATATTCGAGTATGTTAGCTTCTTATGCTCATGCATTAGAGAATGTGTCCCGTTATTTGAGGATTTTTTTGAGCTTCACTTTTGCGTCGCAAGATGGCGAACGATCGGAGGACCAACTTATCTCAGCCAATCAGCGTCGCGCTACATATAAATCGCGGTTGTAAGACGACAGTTGAAGCTGTCAAAACTACAAAAATTATTTTTTGACATTTCGATGAGAAAATTGAGAAATACATTAATCGAAGATACGTGAGGCATGATGTTAACAACAAAATCATCGCTGATTTAAGTATATTTTTATATTTTGTATCTATTTTTAGTTTGAATATAACAATTATTTATGCTAATTCTCTATAATTCGTACGCAAAAAAACGTGGTCCTTTACAACATCGCCTCCTAGCGGTCGTTTTATGAACCCTGTTTTATCCCCAAATAACGGGACACTTTTTCGATCTATATTTCCAGACCTTAGAAATATAGGACCTTTAGAAATATAAACTTAACCAGCTCGGCTAATTACGGTCCTGTCGATTTACCTCGACGTTCCGCATATGCGCATGCGTCGCGATAACCTATCGTTTCGTGTAACACGAGTTGCCTATCTAGCAGGTTCAATTGCGTATTTTCAACCGGCGAGTACTTGTTGAATGTTATCGAATGGAAGCGATTAGAAAATAATAAACGACGTTTTAATAGCGCAAATTAACTCGGCGACGTCTGAACGAGCGCTTGTGCACCGTCGTAACGATAAATCGGAGTAAAAGTTAAGTAGGGTACGGCATTAAATAAAACGTAGCCGCAACCACGAACCGTAAAGTAAAGTGCACCGGTGGTGGGAGTTCGAGAAGGAATGTAGAATGTTGAATGTAGCATGTAGCATCTCTCTGAAAACTTCTACCTTCTACGTCTTGTATCCGCTTAAAGATCGCTTCGTGCAGACGCGAGACTTCGGCGTATTTTTTGCTCGGATGGAAACATTTTATTCCCGTTCAATTCGCGGCCTTTAATCAACCCCAGTGACTTGCCATCGAGTTTGTGGATTTTTTTAAATGTAATATAAACTTGCTATTGGAATTAATCGGATTATCTCGTTCGCCGGTAAGTTTATATTGTTATTTTCGTACATAAAGAAACATAAATTTGTTGTTTATCGAAGGGAATATTTCAATTAGTGGATTCGCTAACTGACCTGTATTAACGTACAAAAGTACATTTTGTAAATAACATTCGGATACGAATAGATGCTGTTATTAAAGTAATTAAAATGTTTACTGTTATTTAAATAATAGGTGTGTTGAATTTCGTTGTAACATTAGGTGCAGTATAAACAAAATCGGTTTTATCGAATGCGATAATCGAATTTTTGCCGAAAAAATTACCAGTTGATTCGAAAACTAAATAGTTATTATTTTTACCTTCAAAAATGGTGTAGTTTAGGAACTAATTTTTCCGAAACATCATACAATTCAAACTAAAATAAACCCTTCCAAAAAAATGTAATTATCCACATGGTGTAATTAATATCGGCGTATGACACGCGATGAATTTACAATATTTACTTTTTTCGTTACATGATTCAGCGTACGATTTCAAATGACTAATATTCAGGATGCGTTGTTACGAAACTCTACCCAGATATAAATAATATACTTTATTAGGTAATTTAATTTTATAGATTTCAAGTTCCCCGTACGCGATCGGTAATCGCCATTCCAATTAACCAAGCAGTTAATTTTCAGTCGCATTTCCCCAAGCGCAATGAAACTACCGTATGTATAGTATAGGTAATACACAAACGCAATAAAGTTACCTAGATAAAAAAAATTAAATACAGCACGTTTATATAAAACAGTAAATCCGTACTGTTTACCAGGCGTAACGTTTTCTTTTTATCGAAGACAATTCGACGAAGATTGATCGTTATGGCAGTCATGAGAACAAGAGATGTATGTCAAGACTGCCGGGGCATCCATTATAATTCTTTTTAATCTCTTTAACAGATGAACTTAACGTTTTTAATAACTATTATTACCATAGGAAATTTCCCGCACCGGTAACGCGCATTCCGGCAGGTTTCCGTAATACTAATACCACCAATTTCATCTAATTAGATGTATAAATACACCTATTTTTTATCTTATAAAGTATTATTTTTGTAGTAATCTAAAGTGTAGTCGTGCGTAGAAATTTTGGCTTTTCCTCATAATATTCTTCTTTTTTTCTAGTCCCAATAACTGCCTCTAACTTGTGTGTAATCCAGTTAATTTCTAATAAGCATTCCCCTAAGAAAAGACTTTTCTTTAGCCTCCTAATTACCGAGTATATGCGAAATTTCCTCGACAGCATCCTGTTTGTTCGACTATCAATCGAACACCCGACAAAATGGCGAGTACTAAATTATTATTAGGGATTTCCCCTGGTTCACAAACGCTTTATACCCGTCCGTTAACCTTCGGAAACGTCTCGAATCGTTCCCATTCACCGATATACTTATACTTCCCGTCGTTTTCTCTGCGCTAAATTTGGATTCGACCTTTCCAGCCGTAAATATAAACGCGCTCTAATAAGGGTTCGTTTTAAATATAAAATTCGACGCTACATACTAATACAATCCGTTTGGATACATTTTATCAGTTCCGCGTTTCCCGATAGGCGGCGGATCTGAAATCTCGGAACAGGTTTTCGTATCGAGAAAGTCCGAGAAACGAGAATATACATCGAATTACCTTCGGGCGTTAATTTAAAAGTAACGAGAGAGGATGGTAAAAAATCCGGAAAAAGTCCTTGACCTTTGCTCGAAGTAAATCGCGCAAACGGCATACTTGCGGAGAGATCCTCGCCGATTTTGCGACGAGCTCTCGTTTTGGGGTGAAAGAGATTCCAGAGAAGCGGGAAATTTATTATAAATAAACGAGTTTTCTTTTCGTGGAATTATTGTTGTCGATCTGTCGACCGTAAAAGGAACCTTCACAATAAAATTGGCTTATTAAAATTAGAGGTAATTGCACCATTGGTGGCTCGTTGGATAATTTTCAAGCCGCGAAGGTCGAGTTTGACAATTTGTTGTATCAATAACTTATCGGTATGTTTGTTTGCATTTTAGCGTTTCACTTTATGTTAAAGAAGCTTTCTACATATTATTAAACGTTGCAAAAAACAAACACCATCTTCATTATTATCTACAGGACGTTCATCTTCTACCTCCACTTCGTTTCTGACTAAATTTTAAATTGTTAAAACTCGATTACATTTGCGCTATTGGCGATTTTCTTTGTTCGGGCGGTACAACAGGTGTTTCATTAGGATTGCGTTACGTTGTGGAAGGATTAAATTGATTATTTTTTCTAACGTTTTAATCGCAAATAAGTCTCGTTTGTTCGTTTTAACCATGCGGAATGTGGAAAAGAGAATGTTATAATGTGTTTGCCTTTTGGGTGCGGTTCTTTTCGATTTTATTCCCTTTATATATGGATATTTATG